GGTCCTTGTTCCTTCAGGCCAACGCCTGAAGCCCTGGCCACGCCCCGTCGCTTGCTGGCCACGAAGCTCTGTCTGGGCCTGCCTCTCTGGCGATTGCACCACAAGCAGGAGGGCTCGGGCCCTTACACTCCGGTGTCACCAGCCATGGTCTGGTCCCAGCGGCAAAGCCATGGCATCCCTGCGCTCAAGGCGTACGACTCGGAAACACTGAGCACGTGCATGAAGGCCGAGCAGGACCTAGGCCAGGCGGCGCCCCAATGCCTGCGTGTTTCTAGGCAGCCAGGCGCGCTCCAGCCCTGGAGAGTCTCACAGGTTGCTGGTTAGCGGCTCCGCACCAAGCAGGAACACGGACCACAGTTTGAAGGACTGTCGTGAATGTCTGATGGTGGGAAGTGACTGTTTCCAAGCTCCCAGCTCACGGCCGGGGGAGCTTCTCTTGAGCGCACTGCGAGGTCACCAGGAGGATTTCTGAGTAACTGCACTTGGATGCTGACCTGGGGCAGAGGTGGCTTTGGGGTGTTTCCTGTGGGGTGTCGGGCAGGGCCCTCTGTGCTGCGGCCACAGCGGCTGGGCGGCTTGGGCATCTCTGATGAGCGCTGGGCTCTCGGCCAATTCCTGAGAGCTGCAGTATTCCGGAAGCTTCAGCTGGTTCCCTGCCAGCTCCTTTAAGGCAGGAGCACCGCGAAGGTCACGAAGGAGAGTGCCCAGGGAGAAGGGCCCAGTTTTCCTGGAAGCCCGGGAGATGTGATCTCTAAACTCAGGACTGGGAGGCCATGAATGTCCAGGGCCCTAAGTCAGCGTGGCCAGCACCCCGGGCCCTGGGGATGCCACAGAACATGTGAACCTCAGAATGTTGTGGGCCTAGCCAAAAGCAGGAGCGGCCCAAGCGCCAGAGCCAGGCCCTCAGGGTCCGGGCCATTAGTGGCGGCTGTCAGCGGAGGCAGATCAGGCCTTGGTTTCTTCCTGGACGTGGAGGGTCCATGGCTGCGGGACAGGGCTGCTCCCTGCGGATCTCCCTGCGCTGCAGGCAGGACCTGGTCTGGAGCCTGCTGTCCCCACGTGTCTTGCGGCTCCCTTGGTCCTGAGCCCACGTGGACCGAGCCTGGCCCCAGGCCCTGCGGCGCTCTCTGATGCTCAGAGCTGGGCTCTGGCCTGTCGCCGGCGCCGCCCTTCTGCTGATCAGGACTCACTCCAGAGGGGCTGGCTGCAGGGTCCCGCCTGGGCTGCCCTCTGAGGCTCCACGGCAGCCCTTGGAGGCCATGTAGGCCCTCCTCCCTCAGGGAGGCCCCGCAGGAGGCTGTGCTCGTGCTGATCTGTCCTGCTGCCCGGCAGGGCCTGCATGTCGCTCCTGGGTCAGGGGGCCTTCGGTGCCTGGCGTAGAGAGCATTGCTCTCCGGGGGCGGCTGTCCTGCCCGGGGCTGTCCCACACCCGGCCGAGGCCCGCAGGACCCCGTCATTGGGCAAGGGGACCCCGCAGCTATCCCGGAGAGCAAGGGGCTCTGGTCCACATTTCTGCTGAGCCCCCTCTCCCCGGTTTGATCCTGCCTGAAGGGAACCCCAAGGCTGAGGTGTGTATGATCTCCGTGGCCTTCCTACTAGACCTTCTTGAGCCAGACCCGTGGGCGAGAGATTCCTGCCTGCAGGAAGAGGCCCCTGGGCTGCCAGCCGAGACCCGCGTGGCCTGCATCCGCCACGTCCCCGTGGCCATGGAGAGGAGCGTGCTTCTGTGGGGCCTTGCTTGGGAGGCAGACAGTGGTGCTGTGGGTCTGGGCTGCCCCCATCACCCTGCCGGCCCATCCCCCATGGTCACCTCACTCACCAGCCCCCGGAACCAGCTCCCAGCTGGGCCTGCCTCCCCTGCAGCCGCTTCCCCGGGGACCGGGCGTTCAAGGGCGCCCCGTGCCTGTCTGACAGCCCCAGGGCAGCAGCCTCTGCCTGCGGCTCCACAGGGGAGGCAGGTGGAGGGAGGAAGCAGGAGCCTTCCCCACTGTGCTGGGCACGGCGTCTGCCTCCAGTGGTGCTGTGCTGCGTCTGTGGGGTCCTGGAAGGCCCGCCTCTCTGGGGTGTCCCCTCTCCTGCCACAGTTCTCTGGGGACAAATAAGCATGTCCGCCTCAGCTTCCTGGTTCACACGGCCCGGCTCCATCCTGCAGGGCCTCGTCCTCAATGCTGGGAGTCCCCTATGGTGGCCACACCGTTTCCCTTCACCCCTGGCCTGGTTTTCTCGGTGTGCATGTCTGGAGAAACACCAGAGAGCGTGAGTGGGCTGTGAGCGTTTGTGTGCCCACGCTCCAGCCCTGCCCTCCCTGGGAGGGCCCACCGCCCACCGCCCGGGCGGAGAGTGTGGTGAGGCAGAGACGGTCACGTGTCTGTCGTGTGTGTGTGTGATGTGCAGATGTCCGCATGTCTCCACATGTGTCTGTCTCTGCGGAGGGAAGCCCTCCGCCCCACATGCTCACCCTCCGTGTGACCTGACCCCTGACCTGTGCCCTCTAATACTGTCTTCTCGTCTCGTCCCTGTGCTGTCGTCGCTGTGTGCTGCCTTGTGTCTGTCGCCGCCCTGCAGTCCTCGCCAGTCGTGGAGGAAAAGGTAAAGCCTGGGGCAGCGTTCCTGCTGCCGTGTGAGGCGCCCAGGGTGCCCTGGGGTTCGGGAGAGTCCATCCTGCTGGTGGTTCCTAATCACGGGCACGGGGCTGGTCCTTGGCCGGCCCGACAGATTTTCTGCAGCAGTATTACAGATCACAGACCATAGGTGTGGCACTTAGAGGCCATGCAGAAGAGGCAGTGGGCGAGACCCAGGTCCCCAAGACAGCCTCAGACTAGCTAGTGGCACAGGGGCCCCCACCCAGCACACACGACCTTGGTCATAGGTCAGCCTCAGGCCTGAGTGGGGCCGGCACTGCAGGGAGGTGGTTGGCAGGGCTGGAGACCCCGCCCTCTGGCGTCAGATGGACCTGGACTTATAGGCGGCTCCGGCACTTCGAGCTCTGGGCCCAGAGTCACTGGTGTGACCGTGACCCATGCAGGCAGCTTGACCTCCGCAGGCCATGTGACTCCCCCGGACTGCGGCTTCTGAAGTGGACGAGCATTGGCATCTCTCGAAGGAGCAGCGGGGATGTGACAAGGGGACTGGGTCTGGGCTGTTGGCGGCAGTGCCCTGCCGTGCCCCCGGGCTCATGGAGCAGGCCACCCGTGGCTCCGTGAGGAGCAGAGAGACAAGATGGGGCTCAGTTCCTGGGGACGATGCCCATTGCAGGAGGGCAGCCTGGCTGTCTCCGGGTGCGGCATGTGTCCGTGCGCAGCAGCGGAACCGGGAGCAGCGGAACCAGGTGGTGGGCACATGCCCCTGTCCTTGGAGGCAAGATGCTTAGTCTGCCCCTGGCCTGGTGCTGAGGGATCCACTGTGCATTTCTCCCAAGGTGGAGCCGGGCCCCAGACAGGGGTTCCTGCAGTGGCACTGGGAGCCCACGGAGGCAGAGTGGGCGAAGGACGTGCCTGGACCCTCCTAGGGATGTGCTCCACGCGGCGGCCGGCTCCCGGGAGCAGGCGGGGCTGCTTGTGCAGAGGGCCGGGCGCAGCCAGAGCCTCGGGGGGACCTGCTGCAGTGTCCAGGTGCCTGTGGACGGACTCGGAGCAGCCTGACTTGGTGCCTTTCTTAGCGTCTAAGCGTCTTTAACTCTCAGGTGACCAGCTGAGACCGTGTCCCTGTCTCAGGGGGCGAGGGCTGCGTGAGGCACCTGCGGTTGTCCACGGGAGACCAGCTTCCTGAGCGGCCTAGGCCTTGAAATGTGGAGGTGCTGGTGGCTCCCGCCCTTCGGGAGCACCCGCTCCTCTGTGTGTGTCTCTGCCACAGCCTCGCTCTGCTCCCGGGGCCGCTCTGCGGGAGGCAGCATCTGGCTGAACAGGACCCACCAGCCGGCCTCGGGGCAGACAAGCCAGGACTCCTGCTCAGACTGTGCTTTCCTCCTGCTTCATCCCAGCCCTGGCCAGTCCCAGAACTGCCCGGGGGCACCAGCCAGAGAACCCCACATCCCAGGCCGGGCTTCTGGCCGCTGCCCACCTGGAGTGTCTCCTCGGACTAAACCCAGCGGGCAGCTTCTGGCTTCGTCCCCCCTGACTCCTGGCGCCTGCCGTTAGCAGTCTCCTGGCCTCCTTTAAGAGAACCCCCTCTCGGGTCAGCGCTTCGTGACAACTGGGAAGAGCCATATGGAGCAGGAGAAAGGGACCCCCGTGGGCCATACAGGGTGCAACACCCAATGAAGGATGGGCCCCTGTTACGCTGTACGCATCCCGCCAACGTCTGACACTGAGAAGATCTCTCGAAGGAACAGTGAAGGCGGAGGGCAGCAGACAGGGAGCAAAGAGAGGGTGGAAGGGTTGATTCCTGCCACCTGGCCCCAGGAGGCAGACGTGGGGCCCTCGGCAGCCCGGAGGCAGGTCTGGGCCCCCCCCAGGAAAGTGTTGGGGGAGCCGTGGTCACCCTGGAATGCCTGTGCTGGCCACGATGCCAAGGGGCCTGCTGCTGGCACCGCTGTGGGATTTCTTAGCAAACAGAGCAGGTGTCTGTAAAATCAAAATAACTATAAACGTGACAAATCACCATGGAGGGAAGGGGAGAACCCCTTCGGCTCGCAGTGCAGCTGAGGTGCCCCTGAACGTGGGAGCAGGTCTGGTTCCAGGGAGCCGTAGCTCAGGGAGCGGGCAGCCTCCGGCCCTGCCCACACCTGGCCCTTGGCCACAGCAGCTGGGTCTGCAGGGCAAGCCCCAGGGCCCCCAGAGCCTGCAGTTCTGGAGCCTTGCGCCTCGTCTAACGTGCGCTTCTCTGCTCTCTCCCTTATGTTTCAGCAGGAAGGAGCGCCCCACCTCTCTGAACGTCTTCCCCCTGGCCGACGGCATGGTACGTGCACAGATGGGGGGCAAGCTCGCGCCTGCGGGGGACCACTGGCACCCGAGTGACCTCAGCTCCAGCTACCAGGTTTTGTAGCCGTGCCGTGGAGTGAGGGTCCCTCTCTGTCGCCCATGCTCATTCAGGAAGCGTCTGTGTGTACAACCCTTTGCAGCTCCCCCTCCTGGCCCCTGTCCCTGGGGTGGTGGGGCTGCTCTCCGAGGTGTGCGCCCAAGGAAAGCACCAGCTCAGGGGGCGCGGGCAGCAGCCAGGGCCTCTGCGGCCAGGGCATGCCCATCTGTTCGGCCTAGCTGAGCCTTTGCTCTGGGGGGCACAAGCATGCCTGTCCCCCAGACCCGCCCCAGAGTACAAGCCCTGAGGCCACACTGGACACCAGCCCAGGACGTCTCATATCCTGGTATCTAAGGTTTGCACTTCCACCGAGAGAAAGTCAGGGTGAGGAGCCAACGTCTCTCCTCTAGGCGGTGCTTGTCTGTGCTAACGACTGCTGGGTCTCTGAGTTTGGAGAGGTGGCCGTCCTGGATGTGCGCCACGCACAGGGGAATGTGCCTCTCAGCGGGCCCCCCGAGAAAGCCAGGGCAGGGACTCCCCCTGGCCCAGCTTGCTCAGGGCCCCTGGTCACTGGCGGCCAGTGCTGGTCCATGAGCTCAGCCCTGCCTCCGTCAGGCTGTGGCCACGTCGCCAGGTAAGGATGCCACCCTCGGGGCTGCAGAAGGCAACGCTGCTGGGCCTCCAGGCCAGGCTGGTGGATCCGAGGCCTGGACTTCTCCCAAAGCTTCTTCCGGCTGCAGCTTGTGGCTGACTGTTCCTCTGTCCCTGGGCATCCAGCTTGCCTGCAGGAGGCGGCTGCAAGCTGCCCACTCTGCCAGAAAGTGACCCCGCTCGCTTCAGCTTTTGTCCCAGACAGGGAGTATGTGTCTGCAACCTCTGACCTAGGCGCTTACCCTCCGTCCCCATTATGGACTGCCCTGTCTGTGTGGGGAGCCGGGCAGAAGGGCAGGGGCCTGTGGGGTCCTCTGCAGCGGCCACGCCAGCTTTCTTCCCGCCTGTCTCTTCTTTCTCCTGCCGCATCGTCTGAAGTAGCCTGGGTTTTCATCCGACTGTTGTATGTTTCAGTTTGTAGGTGTATTTGATTTGATTTTTTTTTTTATTATGTTTAAGTTCTTTTTATTTCGTGCTCTAGGTTTTAAGGTTTTTCTAATTTCTTAATTTTTTTTTGTTTTTTGTTTTGTCTTTTTGTTTTTATGTGCTGTATTTTCAGTGTTTTAACCAAACAGTTGTGGCTACTCATGGTGAGGAATGACCGCTAAGAGTTTGGGTTCTTTGCATTTGGAGGTCACTGCCACACGTTGGTGTTTAGGAGGTTGAGAGGTTTGCTGCTAGGTAAGTGGTGGCCAGGGGAGTGTCCCGCGGGTAGGTGGCAGCCTGTAGGGTCAGGGAGAGCCAGGGACTGGGGGAGGCCTGGCCACGCTGCACGGTTCCTTTCGGTGACTTCCAGGGTCAAACCCACACACCTGAGCTTGCGGGGCACGGACCAGCCGGGGACCGTGGCCCTGAGGAAGGTGTCCCAGGAAACGTGTGGCTCTGAAAGGCATGCACTCCTGTACCTGGCCTCCCCCAGCCCCTGCCAGACTTCCCCGTGCCTCTGGACTCCTGGGGCCATGTCTCCTTGAGTGCTGGCCCGGGCTGGGTGGCAGCGGAGGGCCCTTACCTGTGGGACACCCAGAAGCCTCTGCCGTGTGGGGCAGACAGACTGCTGGGGCAACTCCATCACAGAGGCTCTCAGGAAAGGATTTTTCCTTCTTTAATTGGCCTTAAGCTGTAGAACCCAAATAGAAAATGCTTGTACCGGGGTGCTTCTAGGGAGAGAGAGGCACAGGCTGTTGCACGGGGCATAGCGCCTCGGCACATCAATGGTCTGGGCCATCCTGGGGCCTGCAGAGTAGTGGTCCACCTCCACCCACTGGACACCAGGAGCACCCACCTGTCCCTAGGCATGATAGCCACAGATGTTCCCAGATACCACCAAGCATCCCCTGAGGACATGGTGGGCCTGGGTGAGATCCCCTGCCTAGAGGAGGATGTGGAATAGTGAGAGTCCTGGCAGAGAGGTGTCGGGAGCCTGTTAGATGAAATCAGACATCACTTTCCCAGGCCCTGACCTGACACCACACAATCAGGAAAAGGCAGGTCTCAGGGATGCCCAACCAGCTCTGCCTCCTGGGCACCTGGCGGCAGACACGGGAGCCTGGTCACCCTCCCTAGGTGAAGGGGGTGTAGGTCGGTCCCAGTGTGCATCCAGCTTTACGGACAGGCCCCCTGCCATCAGCTCCTCCCCTGCGAGAAAGCACTCCCAGAAGCTCCCCTTCTGCAGAAACACGTGGCCCAGTGCTGTCGGCCACAGCCATGGCCACGGCCACTGGGGCATGCGAGCCGCAGCCGCTCGGGAAGCCGCGCCCCTTCTCCACCCCCTAGAGGGTAGCAAGGTCTGAGGGGGGTGCTGCCCACTGAGGACGGCATTGGGGTGACTCAGGGTCATCAGCGTTAGTAGACAAGTGAGCCAATTCCGATACTGTTGGATGGTTTCTTTTTTTTTTCTTTTATATATATATATATATATTTAAGACTTTATTTATTCATAGAAATGCAGAGAGAGAGAGAGAGAGAGAGGCAGAGGCACAGGCAGAGGGAGAAGCAGGCTCCATGCAGAGAGCCTGACGTGGGACTCGATCCCGCGACTCCAGGATCATGCCCTGGGCTGCAGGCGGCGCTAAACCGCTGCGCCACTGGGGCTGCCCCTGTCGGATGGTTTCATGAGGAGGGACTGTGGGAAAGGGTGGCTTCGTTTCCCGTGCGGTACTCACGTACAGTGTGTTCTCTCCAGGGAGATTCTGGTTTTTGTTTTTTTTGCTTTTAAAAATTATTTATTTATTTTTTTTTAAGTAATTTGCACACCCAGCGTGGGGCTCGAACTTACTACCCCGAGATCAAGAGTCACATGCTCCACCGATGGAGCCAACCAGGCACCCCTCCAGGGAGATTCTTAAGGTCAACAGTTGATTGCAGTTTTCAATGAGCTGGTCTCTTGGAATGTTTTAAGAGTGACCCATTGTCTGGAAGTGGGGTTATAGGTTGATTGCATTTACATAGATACGTAGACCTTGAGTTCCAATTGAGCCGAGGGGACCTGGTATCTCTGGGAGGTGGGTGCCCCTTTCCAGCCCCTTCTCATCCCAGTGCAGGGAACCTGAGACAGGAGCGGCTGGGCTGCTGCCCGACAGCTTGATCAGAGAGCGTGCTCGGCCTCCTCCCTGGTCCCCGTCTAGAGCTCCCTGCCCTGCCCTGGGCTGCAACTTGTTTTTGACCACCCCCTGGCTGCAAAGGGTTGCTTGCCATGTTCATGTAGCTTCATGTCCATCACACGCGGCATCAGCGGGCTGTCCTGGGGAGTGCCAGCTAAAAGACCCCATCCAAGCCATTTAGATAAGGTGGCAGCGGCTGGGTGAACCAAGGGACTAGGCCAGAGGACTTGGCGGACAGGAGGGCAGGGGGCCTCCTGTGCCCTCAGCCTTTGACCCCGGCCAGAGAGGCCAAGCCAGGGGGCCTCTAGAAGGTGGCCTGGGACCCCGCTGACCCTGCAGGCTGTGCCCGCCTCACTGGGAGCCTGGGGACATGCTGACCCACATGGCGAGCTTCTCCCTACCTTGTTTGGCCCTAGTGTCAACAGGACGAGATGTCCGAGTCCGGCCAGTCCTCGGCGGCTGCCACACCCAGCACCACCGGCACCAAGTCCAACACGCCCACGTCCTCCGTGCCTTCGGCCGCCGTCACGCCGCTCAATGAGAGCCTACAGCCCCTGGGGGACTATGGTGCCGGCACGAAGGGCAGCAAGCGGGCCCGGGAGAAGCGCAACAGCCGCAACATGGAGGTCCAGGTCACGCAGGAGATGCGGAACGTCAGCATAGGTGCTGCGGCGGCTGGCGGCCGTGCCTCCCAGGGCTGGACACTCCCAGCCCCCCCTCCCCCGTCCAGGTCCCCTGCTGTCCCCTCCCCCCACCCCCCTGCTGTCCCCCCATCCCCGCCCCCGCCCTCCCCGCTGTCCCCACCTCCAACTCTCCACGCCTCCCCCCGCCGTCCCTTCCCTCCCTACTATTCTCACAAGCCCCCCCGCTGGCCCGCCCTCCCCGCTGGCCGACTCCTTGCTGTCCATGCCCCCCCTGCTGTCCCCCTCCACTGTCCCACCCCTTGCCATCCCCTGACCCGCCCCCCCCCCCATCAAGCTGTCACCAGCTATTGAGGGAGGTTTCCCTTCCAGCTACCAGTGTTAGTTCTGCTAGATATATCAGTGGGCTCAGGCTGCCGTGACATAACACACATCACAGGCCCGGCAGTTCAGACTTGAGATACGCTTTCTCACAGCCCTGCAGGCCAGAAGGGAGCAGCAGGGCGTCAGGGCTAGGGCCCCAGAGGCCTCACTCCAGACTGCCGCCTCTCCCTGTGTCCTCACTGGCTCGTCCCTCTGCATGTGTGTCCTCATCCGTTCCTCTAACAAGGACACAGATGGGGTCAGGGCCCACCCATGTGGCTGTATTTTATCCACACCTCTGTAAAAGCCTCATCTCCAAACGCGGTCACATGCTGGGGTCCCAGGGGCTGCGGCTTCAGCACATGGATTTGGGGGACACACTGGCCTCTGGCAGTGCACTCCTGTCATCCCACAGACATGCTCAGTAGAGGAAGGGGAGGAGGAGAAGCGGGACATTGGGTGTGCTCATCGGAGGTCTTGAAAAAGAGACATGGTTCTGAGGCATGGTTCCTAGCCAGGCACCACCCAGGGAAGAGCCTTTTCCTGACAGTTCCTGGCTGGTGGTGATCTAGTGTGGGGTTTCCAGACGTGGGGCCAGAGGGTTGATGCCCCCCCAACCCTGGGGTTCCTGTGTGTCCCCCCCCAGGCATGGGCAGCAGTGACGAGTGGTCTGATGTTCAAGACATTATCGATTCCACCCCAGAGCTGGACATGAGTCGGGAACCCCGCCTTGATCGCACGGGCAACAGGTACTCCCTGAACTCGGGGTCCTGGTGGGCTCTGTGTTCACTGTGGGCATCGGCGCCTTTGGTGGAGGAGTCCCTTGCAGCCTCTTGCACAGCAGCATTGGCATTGAGTGGCCCAGTGGGCAGTGTTGGAGGGCCCCTGCCCACAGCCCACGAACGTTGCCCACTCACCCTGTGCTTCCCGGGTGCGTTTCCTCACAGCCCGACCCAGGGGATCGTGAACAAGGCTTTTGGCATCAACACTGACTCCCTGTACCACGAGCTGTCAACCGCAGGGTCAGAAGTCATTGGGGACGTGGATGAAGGAGCAGATCTGCTAGGTAAACTCAAGCCACCCCCGTGACCCTAGGGCCTCGGGTTGCTGTTGTTGGTTTTGTTGGTAATGAAAGCAAAGTCTCTGTCAGCTGTGAGCCAGGAACTTCTTTTTACAGTTTTATCGAAATGTAGTTCACATGTCATAAAACTTAAACTACTTAAAGTTCAGCAGGTTTCAGGGTGCTCACAGAGCTGTGTCACTTTCTAATTTTAGAACATTCTATCACTCTGAAAATAAAACTGTGCCTTTGAGCACTCAGTCTAGGCAGTGCACTTTCTAGCAATTTCCTCAAAGAATATGCTCATATGAGGTCACTGCCCATCTTCGAGCCCACGGTTGCCCCCAGAACTCCCTGCACCTGGATTGGAAATGAGTGCAGAGGGATGCCTGGGTGGCTGAGTGGTTGAGCATCTGCCTTCAGCTCAGGTCGAGATCCCGGGGTCCTGGGATGGAGTCCCACATCAGGGTCCCCGCAGGAACCTGCTTCTCCCTCTGCCTGTGTCTCTGCCTCTCTCTGTGTCTCTCAAGAATATATAAATAAATCGTAAAAAAGGAAATGGGTACAGAGACAGTCCCTAGTAGACTCACTTCGGGTCCTCCTTCCCATCCTGGGATGGGTGTCAGGCGTGCCCATCAGGCAGGGCTCCAAGGCAAGCTGCGGCCCTCGGCACTGCAGGCAGGAAATTGGATGTGCTCGGTGGTATTCACCTTCCCCCCACCACATGCCCTGTGCCCTTGTGTCTGGAGCCTGAACTTTGAGAAGCAGCTTGACCCCAAAGCCCGCCTACAGGACAGGAGCTCCAGGACCTTAGAGCTGCACTTAATCCTTTCCGGCTAGCTAGATAGGCTCCAGGGCAGGAGGTGGGCTCCAGGGCAGGAGGTGGGCTCCTGGGGACAAGGTGGCTCCAGGGGACAAGGTGGGCTCTGGGGCGGGAGGTAGCCTCCAGGGCAGGGGAGGCGGGGTCCGGGGCAGGAGTTGGGATCTGAGGGAGCAGTGGTTCCACTTAGTCCTCTCCAGACACCAGCTTCCATGGAGGTGACTCCTAGGGAAGGGTGCTCCCCACTTCTCATGGCTTAGGGGGGAGCAGCAGCTGGAGCCGGGGCTGCTGCCTCCTCAGGGGAGGTGCTGGTCCCATATGGGAATCAGGCTGCTTCAGCTGCTGTGACCCATATGTGGTCGCCTGCTGCCTGAGGAGGAGGAGCTGCATCTCATCAAAGAGTTTTTACTGCCAACCCTCCTGCTGTTGTCCCTCTCCACTGATTAACACTGGTGACCTTTTGCCCTCAGGGACTTGTGGGCACTTGCTCGGCTACTCTGTGTGTACGGCACTGTCTTGGGTGGCTCGGCCAGGCTTCCAGCGGCAGATGTGGCCGGGCTTGAGGCCATGAGGGAAGGGCGCCACTGGCATGTTCCACCATGTGTACTCTTTGCTTTGGGGCTGTTGTTGGATTAGATTGCCTTAGCTGGGGTGCGGGGACCTCCCGGGAACCGATTCCTTGTGGCATCCGTGCCAGCTTCACCTTGTGCCTAAAATGGAAGTCTTTTCAGCCAGTTTTTAAATTGTTCGGTAAAATTTACCTCCTCGCTGATGTTTGAGCGTATAGTTCAGTGTTATAAAGGATGTTCGTACTCGGTGGTGAGACCAGGAGCAAGAGCAGGAGGCCCAGCAGTGGGTGTTTCTAATGGGATTTTTCTCATAAGTGTTGTAGAAACATATATTTAAAAAGAAAAGCTATTAATATTCAGAAACAATTTACTTAGAGGAAATCACTTTTTTTTTTTTTAGAGGAAATCACTTTTAACATTCTGACATCCTTCTACTCTGTGTGGTTCAGATGATCCTGTATACGTTCTGATTTTCATTTTCGGAAGAGTAATACATGCTTAAATACTATTCAAATAATATGAGAAACTGCCAAGAACAGGGTAAACACCAAATGTCCCCCTCCTCCCCCCGCCATCATGAGTGTTTTAATACGTTGCCACACCTTCTCCGGCACCGTAGCACACACTTGTGCGTGTCAGGTCATGTCTCCCTCCCCAGCGGGGATGTGAACGTTTCCCTGGCCCACTGATACTCCTCCACACATCAGATTACTTCATGGGACTGCAAATTACTCAACTCTCTTGGTTCTGCATTTTGCTGTTTGGACATTGCCGTCACACATGCTGTGGACAGACGTCTGTGCCCACACCTGTGACAACTTCTTTAGGACCGATTCCTAGAGTGGGAGCCTCAAGGTAAAAGTGGGCTCCTGAGAGCATCTGCACGCTGTTCTCCCAGATGAGGCTGCGCCGGGGCTTGCACCCACAGCCACAGGGGCCTGGTCCGGCTGCCCTTCAGGCGTTGGGCCCACTGGGCTGGGAGGGGCATGGGAAGGAACGCCCATCAGTAGGGTTCACTGGCTGGGACGAGGCTGTAGGGGTAGCCGTGCACGTTGTGTGTGTCCATGAAGGCGCACTTTTCTGCCTGGGCCCACCTCGGAGGCTGCACGTGCAGAGGACACCACCCAGCAGGCCACCGTGCGTCTCGGGTGTGTGAGGATTTGATAAGAGACAACAGCCTTCTCTTTAGGAAAACACACAGGCACGCCACGGCTTGCATTTCTGTGCCAGCATCACTGGCAGGGGCAGGAAATGGAATGTAGGGCCGGGGCAGAGCAGGAGCCCACCGGACCTTGTACTATGGCCCCTCACGTCTCACGGCAACATGGTCACAGGAAGAGTCTTGCCAGCGTTGGACATGCATGGCCGCCGTTCATCCAGGGGAATGCTGCTGCCCCCATTTCATGGATGAAGAAACGAGGTCAGGGAGGGTGAGGTGAAGCCACAGAGTCAGGACCTGAACCCAGGTCTGCTAGAGCAGCAGCCCTTGCTGACCTCCCACTCTGCTGCTCATCATGGTTTTGTTGAGATGCAGTGTCATGCCGTACAGTTCACCTGCTAGAAGTGTACAGTCGCATGTCTCTGAGCACTTGGAGCATATTCAGAGTTGAGGGATCACCATCACGTTAGAACATTTCACCCCCAAAGGAGACCTGTGCCTATGGGCAGCCCTGTCCCTCCGCACCGTCCCACGCCCAGCCCCTGGCAGCCACTCCTGTGTTCCCGTGTCTGCACGTTGGCCTCCTCTGGCTGTTTCATACCAGCGGTCCTTGTCCAAGCGGCCTCTTCCCTTTGAGGTTCCTGCACTCTGTAGTAGGTCTTCCTTATGGCTGAGTGCCATTGCGTTGCACGGATAGGCCACACCTCGTATATCCATTCATCCGCTGAGGGGTCACTTCCACCCTTGGCCATTGTGGCTGATGCTTCTGCGAGACCTTCGGTCCCTCACGTGGTCCAGGGCTGCCAGAACTGACCAGCCTCCTCACCGCCCAGGCACTCTGCAGCCTGCCCGTGGGTCCATCCCACTGGCCTGAGTCTCCTGCCTCGCCCAGCAGCTCCAGGCCACGGGGCTGTCCCCTCCCTCCCATCTTCAGGGCTGCAGGGCGCTTTTAGCATCACGCCAGATGCCACTTTGGTAGAGAAACCGCATCAGCAGTGATGAGAGGAAAGAGTGGAGAACCAGAAGCACACGTCAGTGAGCTTGACCTCCATGGCAGACGTAGGATGGCTCCTGGGAGGGAAGTGACGTCTGGTGAATGTCCTGGGGTCACTTCCCTAGAAGAGCACCTGTTGTGACCTTTTCATGAGAAGACCTAACTGGTGTATCTACTGGGTCTTTGTTCTGAGAAAATTCAAACCAGAATCCTCTCGTCATAGGGCGACAGGGCGCGAGTCCCTGTGCTGTGTGCTCAGAACTTCCACCGCGATACTCCACTGGTCGGTGGGCACCGCCTAGTTTTGGCTGGGATGACCCTCCCCCCCCCATTCTTGGGAAACACCCGTCAATGAGCTGTGCCTCGCCAGTGTGGCTGCTCCACGGAGGAGCCTGGGGCCAGGGAGCGGCTCTGGTAGTCTCCGTTCTGTGGCCGTTTTCGCTGAGGAAAGGCCCTGTGGCCTCAGAAACACCAGTGCCACGGGCTGGAGCGAGCGGCGTCCTCCGCGCTTCACGGGCCTGCACCGCCTGCTCCCCGCCTCTTGGCACTTGGGCTGTGAATTCCTGTAGCAAGAAGGAAGGAAAGAGCCCGGAGAGGCAGGTCTCAGGTCTCACTAAACTCCTGCCACCTCTTGCCACACACACCGTGACTTGAGAAATCTCCAAGAAATCGAGTTCTTGCTGCCGGTCCCCGGAGGCGGTGCCATCGAGTGAGACCACGCTTGGTCCCAGGGGCGCCGCACTGCCACCGTGCATCCCTCGAGGTGAGGGAGTCGTGCTTGGTGACCACTCCACGCACGCTGGGGCCTAGCAGGTGGTGTCCCGTGAGCCACGGGAGTCCCTGCGAGGGAGACCATGTGCCCCCTTCACAAATGAGGGAACAGAAGAGAAGCCAGGCAGTTAGACTGTGCAGGGCTGCACTGGCCGGCCAGACCCAGAGCGTGTGCAAATCACCTTGAGAAAGAGACCAACGCGTGTGACGTGTGAACAAGTCAGGAAACACGACTGAAGAGCAGGAGACCAGGTTCGGAGTCTGAGACGTGCGGTTCATGCTGGGTCTGCGAGCACAGCTCCGGAGCCGCCCCGCGACCTCGCCCAGCGGCCCCTGGTCCGGACGGAAGTGCCCTTGACGAAGGGATTCTGAAGTTCACCCAGAGGTGTAAGCGTGTGGGAGCAGCCCAGGATGATTGAGAAAGAACAAGGTCGAGGGTTGCCCGATGTTCCAGGCGTGAAAGCATTTATAGTGCTGCGGCCACACGCCAGCGGCCCCGGGGTCCCTGGTGCGAGACCAGAGCCGTGTGAGGGGTGGACTCGCCAGGCATCCCCTTGGTGAAGAATAAAGTGTGGCCTCCACCTCGTGCAGCACACCAAAGGCTTCTAGTAGATGGAAGATGCAGGTGTAAAAACACGAGGAGAGGGCAGCCCGGAGGCTCAGTGGTTTAGCGCCGCCTTCCACCCAGGGCCTGATCCTGGGGACCCGAGATCGGGTCCCATGTCAGGCTTCCAGCATGGAGCCTGCTTCTCCCTCTGCCTGGGTCTCTGCCTCTCTCTGTATCTCTCATTAATAAATAAATAAAATCTTAAAAAAAAAAGAAACATGAGGAAGGAAGCCGAAGCATCCTGGAGAGTGTGTTGGCGATCGGAGCCCCCCTCCGTGGCCACAGCCGTAGGGGAAAATACTGACACATCTGATGCACACAGCTTAAGAAAAGGTGCGTCGTTTCCCACCCGAGTGGAACCCAGTGGTGCACACACACAAGACGGCAGCGAACACCAATGGATGCTCAGCCTCAAGAACAATCCAGGGAACGCGGAGAGAACTCTTTCCTCAAGAGATCCACGAAGCCCAAGCAAGTGCTGCTGCGCCTGCTGCCGGGATGTTTGGCCCGCGTAGTAGCTGGCAGTGTGGGGTGGTGGCTGGGCGGGGACAGGGCCTCCGGCGGGCCCCCTCGTGTCCTGCACCCAGCACGCCATGGCACGGGGCGCTGCGCCCGAGGTGACATGGATCTCCCGTGCAGTGTCCCCTGGCATAGAGCACCTGGCCCAGGAGCGTGGATAGCATGGCCCTGAGGCTGTCCTTTCACTGCTGGTGTTTATCCTGGAGTTCTGAGAAGCATCCCAGCTGTGGACAGAGGTTGCCCCGGGAAGGAGCAAGGAGAGAGGTTGCACCTGTTTGTCACTTAAATTCCTACATCAGACTCTGGATAAGTCGAGACTGTAGTGTTCCTTGTGCGGGAAATGACCACACAGAGCGGTAGTGTTGCACCCGTCTCCAGCGGGGCAGCGGAGAGGCTTGTACCCCAGTGAGGGGGGCCCTGCCAGCCCACAGGCCCGCCGCCCCCGCCACCTGCCCTCCCTCCCAGCAGCGGGCCCTCGAACCTGGCTGCCCTGGGCACCCGACCCACCCACACGCGTGCGCGCACACACACGCACACCAGTGCACACATATGCTACTGCACGTGCACACGCACACACACTCTCGCCTTCCCAGGCCTCCCCCTCCCGAGGGCTGAGCAGGTGTGGGGCCTGGCACCGGGTCTCCCATCTTCCTTTAGGGTGGCTGTCCCCAGTGGGATTTGTCACCCACAGACCTGGTGACATCAGCTCGAGTTCCTTCATGCTTTTCAACATGGAGATGGCTGCTCGGTGTTGCTTTTTTTTTTTTAATGAAAATCTCTTTACTTTGTTGGTTCCAGTCACCCACTGACCTTTGTCACTTCCTTTCCCCCGTCTCTCTGTGCTTCGCTGGACACACCCCAGGGGAGTTCTCAGGTGCGTATCTGTCCCATCTGTCTGTCTGCACCCCCCACGGCGGCATCCAGCTGCAGTGAGGCGGCCTCCCTGGGGCACTCCCTGCTGCAGCCTCTCCCCTCCTGGTTCCTTTCCAGGCCACTAAGGCACACGTGCTTTTGCTCACCAGCCTACTGCCGCTCGGAAGCTTATTTTGGTTTGCTCTACTAGCCCACTGACCATGGCCTTCCCTGTCCCTTCAGAGGCCCACCGTTCCCCCGTGCCATTCCTTAAGGTTCTACGGAGCCATGAGAAGCATAGCACAGTTGGGATGGGGCCGCAGGGCCTAGTTCTGTGGATCTCCCCTCTGTCAGGTGCACCCCGGAAGTCGGGGGGCCTCTTCCCTCGACTCAGCCCCTGCTTCCTTCCTTCCCAGCAGGAGACCATGAGCCCCCCTCTCCCCCCAGCCTCATGCAGCCTCCCCAGGTGCTCCAGGGCACACCTGTGGAGACTGCGCCCTAACACCCACCCCTCCCAGCCCAGGATTTCTGTGTGACGTCGGTGCACTGCCCCGCCCTCCCCCCCCCTCCCCGCCCCACCGGGTGCCCCTGGCCTGGCGGTGTCCTTGCAGAGGGAGCGTCCTGCCTCCTGGCCCTCTCCAGGACGCACCCGCCCGGAGACCCGGAGACCGAAGCCCTAGCGTCCCGCCGCCCTGCTGCTCACACAGGCTTAATGCGCTTGTCTTTTCTCCCTTCCTTCCCTCCCCCTGCCGCCCTGGTCGCCCGGCTCCCGTGGGACTGGGACGGCTCTCCTAGTGCGCCATGATTTCTTTGGTAAGGCCAAGGCCCCGATTCAGTTTGTTTTACTCCCGTTCCTGGCTCCCCCTGTGTGCCTCACACCTCCTTCGGTGCTCCGTGAGCCGTTTGCTTTGCTCTGCATGCTGGGGGCGGCAGTGGGGTCCGCAGGGGCCACGAGCTCTCCTGGCCCCTGGCTTTTGGGGTGGGGGTGGGGGGCTCAATCCCGACCCCCCAGCGTCCTCTCTCAGAGCAGACCCTGGACAGGCTGAGGGGGCGGGAGCAGAGACAGTGGTCAGACCCCATGCTGAGTACACCATGCGCCTCAGACCAGGGCAAGTGGGTATTAGGAACAGACCCCGGGCTGCTGGGGCTGTGTGTCCTCAGGCCGAGCGTCAGTACGTGCAGAGTTTGCGACGTGCCTGCAGAGAGCGTAGTCAGTGGGGCCCCCAAGTGGATCTCCCGACCCAGCTCCTGTAAACCAGGGTCGGCCCCTCTGGGCACCAACCCCAGGGAGCGCCGCCCTCCCTTCCGCTCCCTCCTCTGCCTGCTGCTGACCCCACCGCTTGGGGTCAGGTCCCACCAGTCCTGCTCCCTGCCCCGGTGGCGGCCGAGCTATCTCCTTGGCCAGGGGCTCTCTGCCGTCCTGTGCTGTCACCGCGGCTCCAACCGCTATTCTCCTGGGCCAGCTCTGAAAAGGGCTCAGGAACCCCAGGGCTCGGGGATACACGGGGTGCTGAGAGGGGCCAGCAATTGAGGCGTCAGCTCACATCACTGGTCAGCTGGGGGGGATCAGCTGGGGGGGGACCCGCGCAACACCATCTGCAGGCTGCTCACTGGCAGCACTGCTGGCCGGGCGCCCACCCAAACACCAGCAGAGGCCTCTCCCCAGGACCCAGACCTGTGGGCCTCATCCCCCATGTGCCCTCCCGGGGCCGAGGTCTGTTGCTCTGAGGCAGGCGGCATATCCTCAGGGTCTAACTTTACCAGCACAGGTAACATCTCTCTGCCTTTTGTTTCAGGAATGGGCAAGGAAGTGGGGAATCTGCTTCTGGAGAACTCACAGCTTCTGGAAACCAAGTAAGGATGCCCTTCTCCAGGGGCACCGGGGTGGCTCAGCCCAGTGAGCCTCCCAGGCTTGCTGTCAGCTCAGGTCGTAATCTCAGGGTCATGGGATCCAGCCCTGCCTGTGTCCCGCTCTGCGCTGGGTGTGGTTTCTGCTTGGGATCTGCCCCCCCCCAAAAGGAATGCTGCCCTCCAGCAGGGAGGTTGCTGAGATAGCCCTCCCCCAGGGCCGTGGCCGCCACAACCCTAGGGAGGACCCGGATCAGAGGGCTTGGCACACCCTCCAGGGTCACCGCCCCTCCCTGCGTTCTGCACCGGGGTGCCCTTCCCGACCCCTCGTCCCGGCAGGCCCCCTTCAGCCCTCATCGCTCCACATGCACAGTGGTTCACACGGACGTCCACACTTTCTGCCTTCTCCAAGAAACGCTCTGAATGTGGTGAAGAATGACCTCATCGCCAAGGTGGACCAGCTGTCTGGGGAGCAGGAGGTGCTCAAGGGGGACTTGGAAGCTGCCAGACAGGCCAAACTCCGGCTGGAGGGCCGCATCAAGGACCTGGAGGAGGAGCTGAGGAGGTGAGGGGTGGGCCTATGGGGGGGCGGGGAATGCCCCAGGAGGGGTTGGGGCTCCCGGAAGGGGCAGGGTGGACCCCAGGCCTCTCCTCCTTGGCGTCCCCTGGAGGGCACTGCCCCACGGGGGCTCCACTGGGGTGCTGACTGTGCAGCCTCCCCCTCCTGCCCTCACATGGGAGCACTCCCAGGCCCACCTACCCCCCTGCCACCTCCCCCATCCTGCCCGAATCCCTCACCAGGCCTGGGTGTCTCTGGCAGCCTCTTACAAAGGAGGAAGGGGAGGGGAGGGGACCCCAGAGCTCTGGGGTGTCCTCCCCAGCACTCGGCACTTCCCTGTGGCCTTTCTCTTCTAGCCTGATGCTCGCCCCGAGGGGTGCCTATGGCTGCAGACTGGACAGGGGAGGTGTGACAGGAGGGCGGGAGGCGGGTGGCACCTGTGCACGCCTGTGGGGGTGACCGACCCGCCTCGCGCCGTCCAAGCAGCTGGCCTGCATCCCCGTTCCCGGAAGCCCTGCTCCCCCGCTGGGGCAGCCAGGATGGAGTCAGGGCTTCACGGCGCGTGTGAGCAGGGCAGTGGGCTGCTGGTCCCCAGGGCGTTAGGAGTGCTCAGGGCGCCGTGCCCAGCGGGGCCATCACCCCACCACCGTTCCCTCCTCGTCCTGCAGAGTAAAGTCAGAGGCCATCATTGCCCGCCGTGAGCCCAAAGAAGAGGTGGAGGATGTAAGCAGCTATCTCTGTACAGAATTGGTATATTCCACTATTAACATGTGGGCATGGGGGGCGGGCTGCGCGGGGCGGGCTCCCAGGGGCGCCCATCCCTCCGGGTCTCGGGGCCCTCCTTACCCACCCTGTGTCGTCTCCTTCGCCCCATCTTGGTGGGAACCCTTTGCAGCCACAGGTGCCCACGCCCCCCTTGGGTGCAAGCACGGTGCTGAGGAAAGCCCTCCGCTCCTTGGGGGCTGGTCCGTGACTGTCGCAGGAGGGCGGAGGGGGACTGTGTGTGGGGGCCTTGGCCCTCTCCCGCGGGGACCCCTTCTGGCTGGAGATGATTAGCCCTCCACAGAAGGCAAGACCTGACTCTTCAGCCCCAGGTAGATAGTGGACACTGACCACACCGCTCAGTAGCTGTTATTTTGGGGGGCACGTGATGCACGGATCAGAGTGCTTGCCACTTACTCTGGCTTATCCTGCACACCACCCACCCCGAGCACCCTAGGACAGCACGGAGGTGCGGGTGAATTGTGGGGCTGCAGGAGATGTCGATCAGGGCGGGTCTCTGCTCCCCCTGCCCCGTGCCAGCCCACGGCAGCCCAGGGCCTGGCTCCTGGGAGCAGACCTGGCCCTGCCTCGGCACTCACAGCTGGCAGGCCCCAGGCAGATCTGCTAACTCCTGCAGTGTCCCACGCGGACGTACTGACCCCAGGTCCACTCACTGGACCTTCCCTGGAGCCTCTCTTTCTGAGACTCCACCCGGTCCAGGCTCACCTGTTAATGCTCACTGATGGCATTTGGGGTTGCCCTGGTGTCCAGGGGCTTGTAAGAAAAGTTGCTGTGTTGTACCCCTTGAGCATATCATGTGACCTTCTGGAAGGTGACCCTTCTCCGGGTGGGTAGACCCCCACTATGTCCGATCCCCTGCCCTCACCTTCCCACCGCGTTTGCCTGGACGGGGAGGCGTATCCACACGGGGACTGGCCCACTCCGGACTCACCTGCTGGCTGGCCCCCCCACTGGCTGAACAGCAGTGCCCTCCCCTGCAGGACAAGATCCCCATGGCACAGCGCCGCCGCTTCACGCGGGTGGAGATGGCCCGTGTGCTCATGGAGCGCAACCAGTACAAGGAGAGGTTGATGGAGCTCCAGGAGGCCGTGCGGTGGACTGAGATGATTAGGTGGGCCCCCAGGTCTCCCCTTGGACCTGTGCTTACTGTAGGATGCCCTGACAATGGGATGAAGGCGGATCCCCACCCCACCTCCCTCCCGCAGGAGGACTGGAAGGGGGACCTGGTGGGAGCCTGTCGGGGGCCCTGTGCTGGGGCCCCTCCAGAAGTGGTGGTGGACCCACCCAGCACCCTGAGAAGGTCCCAGGCAGGGGAGGCAGGAGGGTCCCCTGCAAGGGTGGCACAGGGTCACGGGGTGGGTGGGTGTGCTCTAGGAGCAGGTCAGCCTGGGCAGGGGGCTGAGCTTGGCTCCTCCCCTGCCCCTCCCCTAGAGCATCCCGAGAACATCCGTCCGTCCAGGAGAAGAAGAAGTCCACCATCTGGCAGTTGTGAGTCGGGGGTGCCAGGGTGGGGGGCAGGGAAGGCTGCCCCTTGGCCGCCCCTCACTCCCCATGCCTCCACTGGCAGCTTCAGCCGCCTCTTCAGCTCCTCCTCCAGCCCCCCTCCGGCCAAGCGGTCCTACCCGTCAGTGAACATCCATTACAAGTCGCCCACCACAGCCGGCTTCAGCCAGCGCCGCAGCCACGCAATGTGCCAGATCTCGGCTGGCAGCCGACCTCTGGAATTCTTCCCTGATGAGTGAGTGTCCCCCCGTCTCCCCCGCTTCTCCTGCTGGCCTGCATGTGGGGGGACTGGGGGGAGGCTGTGTGTGCCAGGGTCCCCCCTCCAGGCTCAGGCATGGAGGCCGACCTCTGCGCCTCGCCCTGCACCCCTGAATGTGACTGGGTACGCTGGCGGCAGCCCCCAGCCCCTGCCCTTGGGGACATCACCGCAGCCACCTTCGGGTCGGGCCGCGCCCATGCTGCCCAGCACACCCGCCCTCCCCGGGGATGCTTGGAGCCGACAGGAGGTTACCAGCAGGGCTGGGCTTCTTCCTGAGAATACCTTTTGGAATTTTGTGTTTTCCTTAAGTTTTGGTACCAAGATTTTGGCTCCAGGGCAGAAGTGGGGGATTGTGTGTCCCGTGTCAGAAGACGGGACGTTCTCCAGGATGGGTCCAGAGGGAGGGTGGCTGCACTGTACAGTCCTGCCAGCCAGCCTCAGTGGCCGTGCAGCAGGGCGGGAGCTGGATGTGGGGGGCAAGCTCCGGGCAGGGCGGCACGCAGGACCGAGCGGTAAGTGACCTGCCCGCCTCCTGCCCAGTGACTGCACGTCCTCCGCCCGCCGGGAGCAGAAGCGCGAGCAGTACCGCCAGGTGCGCGAGCACGTGCGCAACGACGATGGGCGGCTGCAGGCCTGCGGCTGGAGCCTGCCGGCCAAATACAAGCAGGTGCTGCAGGGGGCGCGGGGTGCAGGAGGAGTGGGTTGGGTGCTGGGGCCGGCGGGACAGCTGAGGGGAGCCCCCAGCGCCAGGCCTCGCGCCCACGCGGCCTCTGCCTTGTGATTGCAGCTCAGTCCGAATGGAGGCCAGGAGGACACGCGGATGAAGAACGTGCCCGTCCCCGTGTACTGCCGCCCTCTGGTGGAGAAAGACCCAACCATGAAGGTGAGCCCGTGGGCCAGCGGAGAGGGTGGGCCACGCAGGGGAGCCTGCTCACTGACCCCATGGCCGGTCTCCCAGCTGTGGTGTGCTGCCGGCGTCAACCTGAGTGGCTGGAAACCCAGTGAGGAGGACTCTGGGAACGGAGTCAAGCCGGTGCCGGGCCGTGACCCTCTGACCTGCGACCGGGAAGTGGAAGGAGAGAGCAAGAGCAATCACACGTCCCCCGAGAAGAAGGTCAGAGCGGAAGGCAGGGCCAGGGTCTAGATGACTGTGCCCAGCACTGGGGTGACAGAAACAGGACAGCTGAGGACAGGGCCACATGCGTGGGCTCATCTGAGGTCCCTTCCCCCAGCCAGGCAGTAGAGCTGGAGGGGTCAGACCCCCGAGGCGTCTCCCTCCCTGCAAGCTGTGCGCAGGAGCAGTGGGAGGGGCTGTGCCCCCCACTGACTTGGGAGGCAGGCAGCCAGGCACCAGAGCTCCGTTCTCAGTGGGGGTGCGGCCAGGAAGTCCAGTCCCGGTACAAGCTGCCCTGCTCCGCGGGAGCAGCGCTGCATCCCCTGAGGCCGAGGGCAGATGGCCCCCTCAGAGAGCCCTGCGGGGGTGGGCCCCACAACCCGTGTGGCTGTGCCAGTGGCCCGCGCTTGGTGCCAGTCCTGCCCTCCTGTGCCCTGACACAGGCCAAAGAGCTCCCTGAGCCAGATGCCACCTCCAGCCGTGTGTGGATCCTCACCAGCACCCTGACCACCAGCAAAGTGGTCATCATTGACGCCAACCAGCCAGGCACCGTGGTGGACCAGTTCACCGTCTGCAACGCCCATGTCCTCTGCATCTCCAGCATCCCAGGTGAGGGCCAGCCCCACCTATGGGGAACCCGCACCAGCAGCATGGGGCTTTGCACCGCTGCAGACGGCAGGCACGTCAGGAGGCCCACTGAGCCGCACCAGCCTTGCTTGGGTCCCTCTCTGGACACAGGAGCCCCTGGGAGCGTCCAGGGGGAACACACAGGTGGTCTCGCCCCTTAGTCTTATGAACAATCAGGAGAAGACCCCAAGGTGATGCTCGCCTAACCAGAAGGAGATGGGTTGGGCCTCGGGACAGACTGAAATGTGGCACTGACCATGGACCTGCTGGTGGGCCCAGTTCCCACTGCCCCATTGCAGCGGGGGGAGCTGGGCCGGTGGAGGCTTGGCTTTGCCTCTCAGCAGCAACCCCTGTGCTAGCGTCTAGGGGTGGCCAGGCGGTGGGCAGGACAATGGCCCCAAGCTCCTCAGAGTTCTTAAGGCTTTATCACATGATCACAGTTGTCTGCTCCCAGAGCCCAGAGTCTCACTACTCCGTGCCTCTTGCTGGCTTTCCAGGCCTGTGGGCGGTGGTTGTGAGCAGGTACCCTCGTGTGCTGGGGCCGCTCTGGCCTGAGAGCCTGGGGCCCACTGCGAGAGCAGAAGCCTCTGCATCAGCAGGCGGTCCCCCGGCCTCCCACGGCACCTGCATCGGGCAGTGAGCCCCAGTAGGGGCTGCGCAGTGTGGTGTGACAGGGCTGTGCCTGTCCCCCCAGCGGCCAGTGACAGTGACTACCCTCCGGGGGAGATATTCCTGGACAGCGATGTGAACCCTGAGGACTCCAGTGCCGACGGCGTGCTGGCGGGCATCACCCTGGTGGGCTGTGCCACCCGCTGCAACGTGCCACGCAGCAACTGCTCCTCCCGAGGGGACACCCCAGTGCTGGACAAGGGCCAGGGTGAGTCCTGGGCCTGCGCCTGGGCAGCCGCCTTCCCTAAACCTCTTGTTCCTCCCCACTACCCAGCCAAGCTCACACTTCCCTTCTGCAGGGGAGGTGGCTACTGTCACCAACGGGAAGGTCAACCCATCTCAGTCCACGGAGGAGGCCACAGAGGCCACAGAGGTGCCAGACTCTGGGCCCAGTGAGGTGGAGGCAGCTGCGGTGCGGCCTGGGCCCCTCACGGAGCACGTCTTCACCGACCTGGCCCCCGCCCCAGCCCCCAGTGCGCAGCCTGGCAGGTGGGCTCTCGGGATGGGGGGACAGATAGGAGGGGGACTGGCAGAGGTGGGTGGGGACGAGTCCCCCTGGGCCACTCTGGAGCCGCCGTCCTTCCTGCAGCGAGAACGGGTCAGAGGCCGACACCAGTGGTGTGCAACCCGAGCCAGAGCCCAGCGCAGACCCTGCGGGGGCTAGCACCAGTGCTGCCCCCACGATGTGGCTGGGAGCCCAGAACGGCTGGTAGGTGGGCCCTGGGCCAGGGGCTGGGGAGCGTCTCCTGGATGAGCCCCCCGCCCACCACGGCCTCCTCCCACAGGCTCTACGTGCACTCAGCCGTGGCCAACTGGAAAAAGTGTCTGCACTCCATCAAGCTGAAGGACTCCGTGCTGAGCCTGGTGTAGGGACCCCAGCTGAGGGCGGGACAGCGGGAGGGGCCGGCGGCGGCCCTGCCTCAGCCCACTGGCTCACTGCCCTCCCATTCCAGGCATGTGAAAGGGCGAGTGCTGGTGGCCCTGGCAGATGGGACTCTGGCCATCTTCCACCGAGGCGAAGGTGAGGCCCCAGGGCTCCGGGTGGGTGAGCGGCCAGTCCCTCCATGGGCAGAGGTGGGGTGGCCAGGTCTGAGCAGGTGTCGCGGACTCTGCAGACAGCCAGTGGGACCTGAGCAACTACCACCTGATGGACCTGGGCCACCCACACCACTCCATCCGCTGCATGGCCGTGGTGTGCGACCGCGTCTGGTGTGGCTACAAGAACAAAGTGCATGTTATCCAGCCCAAGACCATGCAGATCGAGGCAAGTGCTGGCTGCAGGAGGGCCACGGGAGGGGAAGCAGCTCCTGCTGGCAGAGGTCTCTCCCAACATGCCTCCTAACAGGCACTGGGCGTTTGTGGGGTCAAAGGAAGCGTGCTCCGGGAGGCGACTGCATCATAGGCCAGTGGAGGGCAGCTGGGCCATGAGTGCATCTGTCTGGCTTTCACCTGCTGCTTTACTGTGCAGCAATTCAGCCAACAGCCACGTGGCCCCCAGGCTGCAGGCCGAGCAGGTGGTGTGGGGGGCTACAGCTCCTCCCAGGAGCCTAGACCCTAAGGAGCAAAGCAGGCGCTAGAATGCTGACTGCAGTGAGCTGCTGTGGAGGCTTCGGAGCCCCCCGGGCCTCCCCCACCCCACTGACACGGGCTGCCATGACCCCCCAGAAGTCATTTGACGCCCACCCGCGGCGGGAGAGCCAGGTGCGGCAGCTGGCATGGATCGGGGATGGGGTGTGGGTGTCCATCCGCCTGGATTCCACGCTGCGTCTCTACCACGCCCACACCCACCAGCACCTGCAGGATGTGGACATCGAGCCCTACGTCAGCAAGATGCTGGGTGAGGGGCTGCGCTGGGCTCGGCAGGCAGGGTGGGCAGGGTGGGGAGGGCCCGTGGCACCAGCCCTGCGGACCGCCTCCCCCTCCTCACCCCAGGCACAGGCAAGCTGGGCTTCTCCTTCGTGCGGATCACGGCCCTGCTCATCGCGGGCAACCGCCTCTGGGTGGGCACCGGCAACGGAGTGGTCATCTCCATCCCGCTGACCGAGAGTGAGTGCCCCGCCCCCCGGCATCTGCACATGTGGTGGGGCCCGCGGCTGAAGGGCAGAGTCAGGGTGGGGGGGCACCCTCTGCCAGGCCCTGTGTTGGGGACGGGATGCTGCCATCCTGTGACTCTCTCCTCTCCTTCCCAGCCGTGGTCCTGCACCGAGGCCAGCTCCTGGGGCTCCGAGGTAAGTCCAGAGCCCCTGCCTCCTGCCCTGAGAGGGAGCCACCCGAGATGCCCCCACTGGCCTCACCCCTTGGCGGTGGGCGCTCCCCCACGCTATGCCCTTGCCTGCTGGAAATCTGGTCTCCTGTGCTCAGGCCCTGGGGCCCTTCTCTGTCTCCAGCCAACAAGACATCCCCCACCTCTGGGGAGGGGGCCCGCCCCGGGGGTGTCATCCATGTGTATGGTGACGACAGCAGTGACAAATCGGCCAGCAGCTTCATCCCCTACTGCTCCATGGCCCAGGCCCAGCTCTGCTTCCATGGGCACCGTGACGCCGTCAAATTCTTCGTGTCGGTGCCAGGTGAGGGGCTGGGCCCTGCTATCTGCAGGGCTGTGGCATGGCCCCCCTTCGGAAGCCTCCGTACAGGCCCTGGCTGCCCGCTGAGGTCCCTGTGCTCCACCGACAGGGAACGTGTTGGCCACTCTCAATGGCAGCGTGCTTGACAGCCCATCCGAGAGCCCAGGGCCCGCCGCCCCTGCCTCCGATGCCGAGGGCCAGCTGAAGAACGTGCTGGTGCTGAGTGGCGGGGAGGGCTACATCGACTTCCGCATTGGTGAGTGGGCGCTGCCCAGGGTCTCGGGGTCCCCAGCAGGGCCATCCCATCACAGCGGCTGCTGTTTGTCCAGGGGACGGAGAGGATGACGACACGGAGGAGAGCACCGGGGACGTGAACCAGGTGAAGCACCTGCTGTCCAAGGCAGAGCGCAGCCACATCATCGTGTGGCAGGTGTCCTACAGCCCCGAGTGAGGCTCCTGGCTCCCACCCCGCCTGCCCGCTGCCCATGTACATACAGCCCCGCCCCACAGGCAGCCCGCGCCCGCCCCTCGTAGAACCTCTCAACCTGCAGCTTTCACCTTAGGGCCGGGAGAGCGGGCGGTGGCACAGGTCTGGCTGGGAGGTGGAGCAGGGTGCTGCTCTCGCCCCAAGGGGAAGAACCTCTCAGGACGCCTTCCCCAGCGGTTTCTGGTTGGCCCCACGTTCTCCCGACCCAGGGGCGCTTCAGGGCCAGAGCCAGGCAGGATCCCGGGCAGGTCGGGCCGAGAAGCCTCTGCTGGGGGCTCCCAGCTCCACCCGGGCCGCCTCTCTCTTGCTCCTAGGATCCCCCAGGGCAGGGAGCAGGGAGCTCAGCCCCCCAGGTCTTCCCTGCCGGAGCCCATTTGCCTTTCTTTGCCTGTTGCCTAAAGGGGTGGGCCTGACCCAAGGAGCCAGCCTAGCCCCTGGCCTTCCCTGGACTCCCCCCCCCCCACCCCGATGCCTGCCACCCCGGGACTTGGCATGAAAGCACGTACCCAGGCTGCCTCTGGCAGCTACTTGAGAAGACAGAGACAGATGCTCTCTTCCCGCTCACCCTGCGTGACAGGCCCCACCTCTCCCTGGGTGGAAGAGCCACCCATAGGAGCAGGCTCCGGAGACCTACCCCCACCCCCCCGAATCCCCAGGGTGGAATTTCTCAGGCTGCCAGGGCAGGCCCAGGCCTCAGGAAGAAGGGGAGGCCCCTGGCCTCTCCTGGGGTCGGTCCTAGGACACAGGCTCAGCCTCGGGAATGGGGGACACGTGGTCTGGGGCCTGCCTCCCACAGTCGCCAAGGAGCCCGGCTCCCCAGACACACTATGAAGTGCCTCGGGCTAGCAGTGTGGCCTGCTCCCTCGAGGGCAACTGAAGACAGCCTGCAGGCCTGGGGGGAGCTGCCTCTGCTCTAGGCTGGGATGCCACTTGGAGGGGTGCCTGGACCCACACCTCCTTGACCTGCCCCAGGGCAGGCCTTGCTCCTGCTCAAGAGGCACTGATGGGGGCAGGCCCAGGCCCTGCTGCCCACCCACCTCCCACCAGAAAAGCACAGATCTTGGGCAGCCGCCCCACGAGCCCAGCCGGCCACCGCCACAGCCGCGTGCAGCTGCAGGCTTCTCCCCACCACCCTGCCACTGTCCACTGTGATGTCCGTCCAGTCCCTTGTCTGTTCCCACGGGGCCGTGAAGTGACTCGGGGGCTAGCCGGGTGGGTGCAGCTGGGGGAAGGGGCTGGGTGGGGATTCTCCTCAGGCTTTGGTCTGCAAGCGAACCCACATATCTGCTCTGTATGTAATAAACGTCTTAACATCGTAGTCGTGTCCCTGCCCCAGACCAGCAGGAGGTCGGAGGATTCACTGCTTTATTGTCCAAGGAAAGGCTGCCCAGGTCGCGGGCGTCCGCACAGGAGGGGCCCGCGGACCCCGCGCTACTCGTGCAGCCAGTGTCAGGCGCTGTCCTCCCAGCACAGCAACTCATCGCTGTGGAACCAGAGCGCGATCTCGCGACGGGCGCTCTCCACGGAGTCGCTGCCGTGGATCACGTTCCTGCGGGGGAGCCAGGGCGGGGCGGGACAGGATTGGCCTTACTTGCCAACCTCTACGCAGAAGTCCCCGCGGATGGTGCCGGGCGCCGCGTCGGCCCTGTCGGTGGCCCCGATGAGCGCCCGCGCCGCGCGCACCACGTCCAGCCCCTGCCACACCTGCGCGCGGGCCGGCGGGGTCAGCGCCCAGGCCCGCGCCCTCCGTCCGCCCCGCCTCGCCGGCACTCACCATGGCCACCATGGGCCCAGAGTGCATGTAGTCCACCAGGCGGCCGTAAAAGGGGCGCTCGCGCAGCCTGGCGTAGTGCTCGCGCAGCAGCTCGTCCGAGGCCTGCGGGACCGGGGTGGGGACCTGGTGGGGCCGGGCCTTGCGCGCCGGGGTCCCCGCCCTCCTGCCGGCCCCGCCAGCGCCCTCACCTGCACCAGCTTCAGCGCCACCAGCTTGAAGCCCTTGCGCTCGAAGCGCCGCATGATCTCGCCCACGAGTCGCCACTGCACGCCGTCGGGCTTCACGGCCAGAAAGGTGCGCTCCTGCTCGCCGGCTGTGGGGAGCCGCGGGGACCGGAGGGGTCGGGGCGCGTCGGGCCGGCCGCCCACAGCCCCCCGCCCCCGGCCCGCGCCGCTCACCCGCCGGGAAGTGATGAGCGAGCACCGTCAGCATCAGGCACAGCCTGGCGATGGTGATGGCGGCGGCGGCGGCGGCCTGGGCCTGCGCTTAAAGGGGCGGGGCGGGGGCCGCCCCCTCCCGGTCCCCGGCTGCCCGTCCCGGCGCTCCCCGTCCCCGCTCTCCCGGTCCCGGCGCTCCCCGTCCCCGCTCTCCCGGTCCCCGCGCTCCCCGTCCCCGCCTCCCGCGTCCCGCACTCGAAAGAAGCACAGCCCAGGACGCAGGCGCCGCCTTTATTTGCACGCACAGCTCGGGGCACAGGCGGAGGCGGCCTCCGGTGTCAGTGTCCGGGTCGAAGCTGGGCCGCGCCCCCAGGGCTGAGGCAGCGGCCCGCAGAGGCGCCCTCCGGTCACCCCGGGGCGTCGGCCGGCGCTCGGGCCGCTACACAGCCGTGCCCTTGCTCTTCGCCCGCGGCCTGGCGGGGTAGTCCCAGGGATGCTCGGCCCGCTCCAGGCTCAGCATAGGCTCCGCGGTGCTCCCGTCCCCGCGTTTCCGCCGCTCGGCCAGAATCATGGCCCGCAGGAGCGGCGGGTAGGGCACGCGGCGCGGGGCGTCCCGGGGCGGCGGGGACGCGGGCGCGGTGAAGGCCGCCTCCTCGTGCTTGGGCACCAGCCGCCAGTCGTGGTACATGGCCTGCGCGACCTCCCGGGGCTCGCCCTCCGTGCGCCCTGGAACGAGGGCCGGGGCTGAGCGCACGGGCGCTGCGGGTCCCCCCTCCCCCGGGCCCCGCCTCGGGCCTCACCTCGGAAGGTCAGCACGCCCCAGGCCCGCCCGTGCTCCAGGTCCTGCAAGGCAAGCGCAGCGGCGTCGGCGGGCGCGCCCTACCCCCCTCCCTCCCTCGCCGCGGCCCGGGCGCCGGGGCCCGCGCGCACGCACCTGCGACGTGTAGTCGGGCCGCACGCGCGTCAGGCGCCAGTAGCACGGCTCGTCGTGCCGCCACAGCCAGGACTTGCGCGTCACCAGGCGGCCCAGGCCGAAGAGCGGCAGGCGGCGGAGCAGCTGCGGCAGGGTGCTCTCGCGGCGCACGTCGGGCCAGGCGCGCGCGGGCAGCCGGCGCCCGGAGTGCGGCCGCGTCAGCGTGTCGTAGTCCAGGGCGAAGCGCTGCGAGTCCCGCGGCCGCTCCCGCTGCTCCCGCAGGGCCCGCACGCGCCGGGCCAGCTCTGCGAGGAGCCGCGGCCGCACTCTCTTGCGCGCCATGGGGGCGCCGGGTCCGCGCCGGCCGGAAGCCGCCCGCCGGAAGCGCCGTGTGCCCCGCGCTAAGGCGTCCGGGCGCGGCCGGAAGCGGGCGGGAGGCGGTGGCGGCGGCGGCGGCTCTGGCGCGGGCGGGCGCTGGGGGGGCGGGGCGCTCGCGCCGGGCGGGGGGCGGCGGGCGGCGGCCGACCTGGGAGATCTCGGACTCGGACGCCGAGGGCCCTGCGGGGCCGCGGGAGGAGCGCAGGGCGGCGGCGCGGCCGGAGCAGGCCCTGCGGCGCGTGGCGGTGCGCGTGGACCCAGGTGCGGGGGGCGGCGGGGGGGCCTGGCGGGGGGCGCCGCAGCCGCGCGGGGGGCTCAGCCGTGTCCCTGCGGCTCGAGCAGCGCTCCTGGGAGACGCCGGCGTCCTGCTAGAGGCCCTGCGCGCCCTGGGCTGCGAGCGCCACGTCGACGACCAGCGGCCCGCGCGCAGCCTCAGGTGGAGCAGAGCGCAGCCCGACCCGCGTCCGCGCGCGGTGAGCGTCCTAGCCCGTGCGCCCCGCGCCCCCGTATGCCCTCCGCGACCCCCGTGCCCTCCGCCTCCCCCGTGCCCCCGGCGCCCCTCCGTGCGCCCCGGGCCCCCGCGCCCCTCCGTGCCCCCCGTGCCCTCCGTGCCCTCCACGCCTCCCTGTGCCCTCCGCACCCCCGTGCTCCCTGCGCCCTCCCTGCCCTCACCGCCAGCTGCGCACCCCGCAGAGCGGCCAGACAAGGGGAGGAGGGCCAGTCCCTGGGCTGCCATCCCCGGACCGCGGGTGGGACGCTGGGCTGCACAGCAGGCCCCGTGGGGCCCCAGCGGCCCAGAGGCACGTGCGGTGGAGCCTGGGCAGCAGCGCCCCCGCTGTCCCCTCAGGTGCCTTCTGAGGTGCAGGCTGCAGATCGGGAGGAGGTGCTGCTGCTCCTGGAGCCCGAGGAGTTTCTGCGGGGTATCGAGTTTCTGCAGGGCATCGAGCCGCTGACCCAGGTGCTGGGGGCAGGGGCAGCACCCCTTCTCCACACCGGGGGCGGGGGGGGGGTGCTTTGCCATCAGAGCTCCCTCCTCAAGGGGAGAGGCGGGCAGGGAAGCGGCAGGGTTCTTGGCCTGGGAGCAGCTGGAGGCCTGAGGAGTGTCTGGAAGGCGAGAGGTTTAGGAAGGTTCTCCTGGAGCTGAGCCCGAGTCCAGGCGTTGGGTTAGAGCCCCTGTAGGTCCCACGCACCTGCTATAGGCTGAGCTATGCCAGCTGGGCAGGGGTGCACAGGTGGGCAGAAACTGGGAGGTGCTGGGGCTTTCCCAGGTCCTCGGCCTTGTGGGTGGCGGAGGAAGCCCATGCCCGTCTGGGCTCCCTGTCACTCCCAGGCTCGCTTCCGTCTGCAAACTGGCAGTGGCCCGGTAGCCAGTGGCCCTGTCTGCTGCAGCCCCGCAGACAGGCCAACGGGTTAAACCCTGGTTTGCAGACTTGCGACCCGGCGTACTCCGTGCCCTGGGCCTCTCCTGAGAGCTCTGCCGGCCTCCACCTGGCTGTCATCGGGCTAGACACTTACCTGCGGTACAAGTCACTCTGGTACCCTGACTAGGCTGGGCGGGGGAAAGGTGGCGGAAGCTCTGGGCTCGAGGGGGGCTGTGACGGTTAACTCCCTTGGGAGGGCTCAGGGAACAATGAGGTGTGGGAGCCGCAGGGATGGTCACCTCTGCTCAGGTCTCACCAGCCCAGCAGCCGGGAGGTGCGGCAGCCAGAGGGTCCAGCAGTGGCCTGTGCCCCAGTGGCACCACTCAGCTGGCCCAAGATGGAGGAGGTGAGGTGTTTGCCCTTGATCCTGGTGCTTGGGCTGCTCTCCAAGGCCCCGCAGCCCCGGTTTCTGTCCCAGAGCAGCATGTGGGGTTGGTCCCAGCTGGGTCGGTCTCACCCCAGGGGTGACCTCTGACCCACAGTGTGGGCTCACCTCAGGCCCTGGTACTCCTGCAGCTCTGGGCACACCTGGATGTGCTGCTGGTGCCCTCCTGGCGGGAGCTGAGTCAGCACGTGTGTGCCTTCACCAAGGCCTTTGCTCAGCGCCCCTTCAAGTGCGTGACCCCTGCCCCGACTGGTGGCTGTGGCTGGGAGGGGGACAGGGACACCTGCAGGGGCGGTAGCTCTCTGGTCCCCCTGAGAGCGGAGAGGACCGGGGGCTTCATTGAGCTGGATGGGATGCTCGAAGGACACGAGGCCTCTAGAAACTTCCCCAAGTCTCTTCCTGCCTTCAGGCAGTACTGGGAGTCCTGCGCCTTTTCCTTCTGTGTGGATGGGCGCTGGGCAGCAGGCGAGCGAGTGGCAAGAGATGGCACAGGCCTGCGTGGGGTCTGGTGGCGGCAGATCAAGCAGTTTAACCGGCTCAGCCCGGCCGTGGCCGATGCTGTTGTCGCTGCCTTCCCCTCCCCCCGCTTTCTGCAGTGGGTGGGTCCCCTGCACCCTCCAGGTGTGGAGCCAGGTGTCCAAGATCCGCCCTGCTCATCCCTGTGCCTGCCCTAGGCATACATGGCCTGCGGCACGGAGCAGGAGCGCCTGGCCCTCCTGGCGGACCTCCCCGTGAAGGTGGGCCGAGGTGTGCGGCCCCGCAGGGTGGGGCCTGACCTCTCCCGTCGCATCTGCCTCTTCCTGACCTCCACCGACCCTAAGCTCCTACTGGACCTGGGCTCCTGACCATGCCTGAGGGACAGGAAGGGGCCTTGTCTCACCTCCCAGCAGGACAGAACAGGGTCCGCCCCACCAGGGGAACAGCTGCAAACCACTGGGGGCAGGGATCAGGGACCAGGGCACCACACCTGGGGAGGTGCAAGGGGAGGGCATGGGGTGGCCACAATGTTCTTAGATAACTGGGACAAACCGGAGAGGATAGGGAGAGGGTGTCCCATGCCCCAGGTCCTGTACCACTGGCCCCAGGGCTGGTGCTGAGCTGGGGCGGTCAGGAAGGGGAGCAAACACCTCTCCCCTGGGCGGTGCTGTGATGCAACCAGACGTGGCAGGAGAAGAGCCACAGGCACCCGGGAGCTCGGCCTAGGCTGCTCTGGTCCTGCCACCACAGAGATGTTACACAAAATCCAGGTTTATTACAGTCATCTCAGTCTGGGGGGGGAGGGACAGCAACTGATGACATGCACAAGCAAGTTAAAGAGAACTCAAGGCTGGCGGCAACCTCCAGGGCCGCCTCTAACGGGGTGTCCTCGTGGGCGGGGCCGCAGCCTCCTGGGCGCCGCCTTCCAGGCCCGCAGTCAGTCCAGGAGAGCAGGGCACTGCCGCTTCCACACAGTGCAGGCGGGAGCCAGATGCACTCAGGCTCCAGGGCCTGTCCTCGCCTTGGGGAACAGAGGGAAAGGCACCAAGACAGACCTCAGCCCAAGGCCTCCCTCTGGAGCGTGGCCCGAAGGGAGGGATGGAGGGCACGCCCCCTCAGCCCCAGGAAGGCAGTTTTCACTGGAAGAGAAGTTAGGTCCGTCGGCAGCGCTTCCTCTGGCAGTGCCGGGGCTCAGGGCTGCCGGGGGTGGCTGTGGCCTTGGGGGAGGGCACAGGGGGCTTGTGGCGGCCACAGCTCATGCTCAGGACCCAGCCCAGCTTGTGGTGCAGCACCTGCTTGAGGCCAGGCGGCAGGGGCAGGCCCTCCAGCGTGTCCCTGGAGTTGGGCCGCAGCTGGCGCAGGCGGTAGCAGCACAGGTACTGCAGGGACGTGATGCTGGCGCACGAGCGGATCACTTTCATGCTGCTCTTGGCGGCCGTGGAGCACACCATCGGGTAGAACTTCTTGTTTTGCAGCTTGGTGGCTGCCACGCCTGGGGGGTGGGGAACGCAGCTGGATCCTGGGCTGCCCGCGAGGTGGCGCATCCTCCGGAGGCGCGTGGGGACACACTCCCACCCGCCCGTGCCGCCTCGCCCTCCGGTTTCTGTGAGGTGAGCCTTTTGGGGAAGCCTAGGGGCGCTCCCTGGGGCTCCAGCTCTACACTCCAGGCCCCAGTCAAGGTCATGGCCGCCCTCACCTATGCACTTCCTGTTCTTAAAGAAGGTGAGCGTCCCATGCCAAGTGTCCAGGTGCACACCAATGATGGAACCCTGGCCAAACCTCGAGGAGAAGCTCGTCTTGTCGCCCTTGTGGTGGAGAAGTCCTGGGGGGAGGGGGGGGCAGTGGGATGGGGTGAGCCTGGCCGCCTCGGGGTCCCCCCAGCCCTGCCTGCCCTCGGGGCACCGCGCACCTGTGTAGGAGAGGCCCCAGCTGTCCTCATCCCTGCCAAGCAGACTGCAGAACGTGTGGTGGTACTTGTCCAGGTCCACGTCTGACGTGCCAATGCCCACCATCTAGGAAAAAAGAGCAGGGTGGGCAGGGGCTGTCCTGGGCGCCCAGGGTGCTGCCCACTGCCCCCCACCACCCACCAGCGACTGCATACCATGTCAGTGCCGTAGACCGGCGAGGTCATCTTGATCTCCCAGAAGTGCTGGCCCTCCCCCAGCTCCTTGGTGCCCCTGATGGCCGCGGTGCCACAGCTGTATTCCATGTGGAAGTTGACCTTCCGGTTGTCACAGCTCAGCAGAGTGGCCGAAGACTTATTCAGGTCGTCCCATACCCAGTCAAAATCTGCAGGAGTGAAGGCCAGGCTGTGGCAGCTCGGCCAGGCCCCTCCCCGGTCCCCAGCCCCGGCCCCCCAGGTGCTCACACTCATCCTCCTCGCCGCAGCGGCAGTCTTTGTCCTTGCCCCGGTGCACCACGTGCAGGCTGCCGCACAAGGAGGCCTCACTCTGGCTGTCACAGTCACAGAAGGACTCCCCGGTCACAGGCACGGCGCTGGGGATGGGCGGCGGCAGGGCCGAGGACTCGGGGTCGGAGTCAGAGTCACTGTGCTGGGACAGAAGGACCTGGCGTGCCCTCCACCCTCTGTCCTCCACCCCAAGGTCAGCCACCTGTGGGTCAACTGCACTGATGCCCCAAGGACAGGACTGGAGCTTCCCTGGGTCTCCTGCGCACGGCCAGCCCCCACCCTCCTCGGTGCCACACTGGGACCCTGGACAGCCCCTGGGAGTGGGGTCAAGGGCTCCACCCCATCCCCACATAGCCGTGCGGTCACTGGGAGCCCCGCTGACGGCCAGCCAGGAGGGGCCACCTGCCGGTTCTTTCTCTGGACAGCCAGAAGCACAGAGCCCGGGACGAAGTCTGCTGTTGACCCCAGGAGGGCAGCCTGGCAGCGGCTGGGCTCCAGCGAGGGCCCCTCAGCATGGCAGGGCACGAGTGCCTGTCCTGGACTGTGGCCCTCCCGTCATCCATGCCATGGGTGGCTCTGACCACCCCCCCCCCACGGGGCCCTGGAGCCCCTTGGTCCTGTGTGGACACTTGGAGCTTCAGCCGTAAGAGGTCCTCTGCCCGAGGGGGCCCAATCCTCACAGCATGGGCCACATGCGGAGGCCTGATGGTGGCCCAGAGCCAGATCCTTCCTGAAAGCAGCCAGGAGGCCTGCCTGTGTGCACAGATGTTCCTATCCTGACCACATCTGGTCCCCTGTCCAGCAGGCAGGCAGCCTCAGGTCCTGATTAGGGCCCACCCTGCACCCCCATTCCCTGCCCCTGGGCGCTCCTCCCCCCCGCAAAGCCATCTGCACCACGGGCCAGGGCTGGCCACACCTCCACATTCTGGTGTTCGGTGCCAGGCCCACCCCCTCCCCCCAGCTGGTGTGTGCACCTGTCTCCCGTGGGGTGGAACCTCTCTGTCCCTAGACCACGGGGGAGAGGCTCTTCCCCCTTCACTCCCATGCCCCGTCCTCTGTCCTGCTGTTCTACGTGCCCCCACCAGGACAAGAGCTGATGAGCACGCTCCCATTTCTCTCCTGTTGCACCCAGGGCCACGGAGCACAGGCTGCCCTGAGGGAGCAGGAAGCCTCGGCCGAGGATGGACACGGGACGGGAAGAAGGCCCAGAGCACTGTGCTTGGGTGGAGTGCAGGTTCCTCAAAAGCCAGGGCACACTCACCGCTACCCAGAAGCAGCCCCTTCCCACTTGGCCAAGACCCAGGGTCTCAGACTGGAGCGCTGGAGGCCCATGTGGTCAGCCCCTGCTCCCAAGCCCCGGGGGGCAGCTGCTGCCCACCAGCCATAGGGCAGCATCAGAGCAGAAGGGAAGAGCAGGGTGTTCAGCCTTCAGACGTGCTCGGGGTGACACGCCCACCCACACAGCCAAGAATTCCAGGTCCATTAGGTGACAGGCAAGCTACAAACGTGTGTCAAGGGCTACGCCCAGGCCCCCCAACACCGCCCACATCTTCTAGCGATGAGTTGGCAAGGCAGGGACAGCCAGGAGAACAGATCACCTGGGTCACGGGGTCAGTGGGAGCCAGAGGCGGGAAGGAATGCAAGCCTAGGACTCCTGCCAGTGGGGCAAGGAGTTTGGGGAGGCTCTAGGAAAGGACCCAGGACATCCCCAAGTCAGCCACTGCCTCCAGTTCTCTTCTCTGAGCCCTGGCAGTTCCCCCGAGCTCAGCCACCCCACTCTAAAGAAAAGAGACAACCACTTCCTCCTAGGCCATCTGGCTGTGTCAGGGCAACAACATACAGGGTGGCTGTGCCTGGTCAGCCAAGAATCACCCCTGCAGGAAGCAGCCAAGGTGACTCAGGGCAGAACCCAAGCCCTGTCCTGGTCCCAGAGATCCGAGCGGCCATCCAGCGCCCACCCCAGCGACAGGCACGGTGGTCGCCCGGCCCTGCTGCTCCAATTGGCATGGCTGAGGTCGGTCCAGTGAGCCACTCAGAGGCGTCAGACAGCCCGCCCAGCAGCTCCTCTGAAGGCTTCTGGGCCTCCCAGAACTCGAGCTGCTGTACGTGGAAGGCACAGGCATCCCGGTCCCTAAACATTGTTACGTTCTCTTTCTACGCACATGTATGTGAACACGGAGTATCCGTGTGTACAGGCGGGGACGACATCTGGGAGCGCACACGGCAAGGGAACCACTGCCACCTTTGGAAACGGGTTGGTAAGCGGAACGTGAAGCTTCTGTTAAACTGACCAAGCTGTGCGGCAGAGTTGAGAGAAGACTGTGGTGTCCATCCTGGGGTCCCATCACTGCAGGCCACATGGGTTCACCTGGCCCCTCCTCTGCTCTCAGGAGCATCTTTCATTCCCGCCACTGGCGCCTCTACCCCCCTGCAGCCAGGCGCCCCCACTAGGACCTACCTGCCCGTCAGAGTCGTAGCCCCAGTTTGCGGTTCCTGCCAGAGCCACGGCCCGTGCATCCGCGTCTCGGCGGGCGGCACTCAGGACAAAATGCCAAGCTCTGCTGCTCCGAGGGCGCCTGGCCATGGTGAACAGAATCTGGAAGGAAACCCAGCTTGTGAGCAAAGAAGCCCATGGCAGCACCTGCGCTGCGTCCTCAGCCTGCTGCCAAGGTGGAGGCTCTCCCGAGGCCGGCGGTCGCGGGGGTGAGGGCCCTGGAGCTCTCCCCCACCGCCCCCTGCCCCCGCGGGCAGGCACCTTGACAAAAGCTGAGCAGAGCGAGTGGAGCACCATCCAGATGCTCATGACCCTTGAACACGTATCTTGGCCCCTCTCTGGGCTCGGCCTGTCCCTGGGGCATCTCGCTCCTTGTCTGGCTCCACCTCTCTCGTCCACTTTGACAAAAGGCATCTCCACCATCCGAGTTCCTCATGCCAGACCCACAGCAGTCATGCTGCCAGCCTGTCCTCCCCGGGCGGTGGCCTCCCGGCCCCACCCCCAGACCGGGTTGGAGCCGCAGCCCGAGGCCCGAGGGCCGCCACAACGCTCCTCCGCCCCGGCTCCTCCCACTTCCCTCGCCGACTTCTTGGAAACACAAACCGTAAGAATTTAAACAAGCCTTAACAAGTCCCGAAGCCCCCCAGCCTTGCGTCGTTCCTGAGGTACACACCGCGTCCTGCAGAGCCCACCCCGCGCCCCCGCGCTTGGCCAAGCCACGGTCCGGGGCGGGGCGAGCCCTGTCCTGCCCTTTGCCCCGAGCGCCTTCGCCTCCCCCCGACCCAGGGCCGCCCCGAGATCGGGACCCCGGCCCCGGCGCCGCCGCCCGCGGGAACAAAGGCGCGCCCGGCCCCCGCCGCCAGCGGTCCCACCAGGCCGGGGGCGGTCGCCGCTCACCTGCCGCCTAGCGCCGCGCTCCGCCGGGCCGCCGTGACCTACTTTCGGCTCCGGAGCGGGACGTAAACAATCCCCGCCCCGCAGCCCGCCCCCCGCGCTGCATTGGCCCCGCGGCGCTCGTGGGCGCGGGCGGGCGCGGCGGCTCGGCGGCAGGCGGGGGGCGGGCCGCCCGGCTGGGGCCCGCGGAGAGGCGGCTGGGCCCGTCAATCCTGGCCGCGCGTGCCCATTGGTCGGCGCTCCGCCGTGGACCGAGGGCCCGGCTGCCCATTGGGCGCGGGGCGAGGCGGTGCCTGACACGGAGTGGAGCCCGTATCCGGTCGTTGTCGGCCCCGGAACCTACGTGCCCCTTACGTGGGATGTGATTGGCTGAGCGGAGCGCGAGGGAGCCTATGAGGACGGCTGGGGGGCGGGCACTGCGCGGGGGCGTGGTCGCGAGCGGAAGCCGCGCGGCACCGTGGCCGGGATGGGGACGGCGGCAGGTGAGCGCGCGGGCGGGACCGCGGCCGGAGAAGAGGGGAGCGGGCGGGTGGGGGGCAGTGCTGGGCTCCCGGGGACCGGGCCTGGGTGCTGGGGGGGCCGCCCCGACACAGGCTCCCGGCGCCGGTTCCCCCGCAGTCCTCCCGCAGCTCCAGGTGCGCGGCCTCGCAGGTGCTGACGACGGGCGGAGCGGAGTCAGGGCACCCCAGGTGGGCCCGGGCCGCCGCGGAAGGCCTTCCCCCTGAGGGCGCTGGCGTCCGTCGGGGCCAAGGGCGCGTCTCAGCTTAGGGCCACGCGAGGTGCTTGGGGGCCTCCCAGGGCGCCCGGTGCGAGGGCATCCTGCGTCGTGCCCCCCTCTCCTGCTCAGGGCCTGGAAACTTGGCAGGCGTCCGGCACATCCTCCTCGTGCTCTCGGGGAAGGGGGGCGTGGGGAAGAGCACCATCTCCGCGGAGCTGGCCTTGGCCCTGCGCCATGCCGGCAAGAAGGTGAGCCCCCCCGCCCAGCCGCCGGGGTCCTCAGCCTCTGCCCGCCTCGCGGCCCCTGCACGCCGCGGACGTCCTGCCTCCTCGCAGGTGGGGATCCTCGACGTGGACCTGTGCGGCCCCAGCATCCCCCGCATGCTGCGGGCACAGGGCAGGGCTGTGCACCAGTGTGATGGCGGCTGGGTACCCGTCTTTGTGGACCAGGAGCAGAGCATCTCCCTCATGTCCGTGGGCTTCCTGCTGGAGAACCCCGACGAGGCCGTGGTGTGGAGGGGCCCCAAGAAGAACGGTATCGCCGCAGTCCGCCTTCCCGCTTCTCCCAGCTGCCCCCATGGCACCCACGAGTCAATGCGGGAGTCCTGTGGGAGCTGCGTGCCCTCTGCCCCAGGGTTTTTGGGTAACGTGGGAGGCCCTGACAGCTGACTGTTCCCGAGGGGTCATGCTGCTCACCTGAGCGGTCGGGCCCACATGGAATTGGGAACAGAAGGCACCTCCGAGGCTGGCGTCACCACACCCCTGTCCCCAAGCTCAGACCCGAGGCCGCCCAGCCTGGGCCTCACCGAGCCCCTGTAATTGGTGGGGGGGAGGCAGGCAGCAGGCTCCCCTGCCGCCACAGCTCCCCTCCTCCTGGAAAAGCTTGAGGTGTCCTGGAGTGCAGGTGCTGACGGCCCCCTGAGGATCACAGCTCCTGGGTCAGACCTGAGTGGAAGTCTGATGGGGCAGGAGCAGCCCGCAGCTGGGAAGGGAGAGGTGCTCGCAGGGGGGGGGGGGACGCCTGCTGTGTGCGCTGCTCCACTGTGAGAGGCGTGCCCTGGTGTGCTGGGCGGGCCCTGGGCCTGCAGAGGTGCCCCCCCCCCCCCGAGCAGCAGGCCGGCTGGAGGCGAGGGGCTTGCTGCACCCCCAGTGAGACCCCGGGCCTTCACAGCACTCATAAAGCAGTTTGTGTCTGACGTGGCCTGGGGGCAGCTGGACTACCTGGTCGTGGACACGCCACCGGGAACCTCTGACGAGCACATGGCCACCGTGGACGCCCTGCGTCCCTACAGTCCCCTGGGGGCCCTCGTGGTCACTACGCCCCAGGTATGGCGGCCGCTCCCGGGGCCGAGCACCTCCCTCTGCCCTCCGTGCCCTTGGTGCTGTGCTCTGAGGGTACCCAGCGGCCGGCGGTGACTGGTCCCCGGGCCTTAGGCGGTGTCCGTGGGGGACGTGAGGCGGGAGCTGACTTTCTGTCGGAAGACAGGGCTGCAGGTGCTCGGGGTCGTGGAGAACATGAGTGGCTTCGTCTGCCCACACTGCGCAGTGAGTAGTGGGGACTTGGCGGGGTGGGGTCAGGCACGCCATGGGCCACGAGGGCAGCCGGGGACCCGCCCCCAAGTGCAGGGGGGGCGGGGTGTCCTTCAGGCCCCGTACGTCTCTCCTAGGAGTGCACCAACGTCTTCTCTCAAGGAGGCGGGGAGGAGCTGGCCATGCTCGCCGGAGTCCCGTTCCTGGGTGAGTGTGTCAGGGCCGCCACTCGGCTCTGCTCCGGGAGGACGGGCTCGCCCTCCGCCACCCTCACGGCCCGTCCCCGCCCTCTCCCTCCGCAGGCTCCGTGCCTCTGGACCCTGAGCTCTGCGGGAGTCTGGAGGAAGGGCGAGACTTCATCAGGGACTTCCCCAAGAGTTCTGCCTTCCCCGCGCTTTTCTCCATAGCCCAGAAGGTTGTGAGCCAGGCACCCGCTCGGCTCTCCTAACCAAGGCAGCCCCACCGCCGTGTCTCCCTGCATCTGGGGGCGGTGGGTGGCTCTACCTGGGGGGGTGGCCTGAGCCCTCAGAGAACAGCATGCCCCAGGGCATGGCCGGCTGCCTCCGGGGCCCCATGGGTCACAGGGTCCAGGAGACCCCAGGCATCTGCTGCCCGCAATGCTGGTGACTGAGCTGGGGGGCAGCCTGTGAGGTGTTGGGCCGGTTGGCCTCAGAGGAGCCCACAATTAAACGTGTTCCACCGGCGTGGCTTGGGCCTGATGCTTCAGAGAGCCGCGCGCCGTCCTGTCCTGGCCTCGGTGCCCCCGCAGCTGCCAGCTGTGCCTGTGACGCCGCCCGTAGGCCCCGTAGCCCCCGTAGCCCCCGGGTTGAGCGAGGGGTAGACTGCAGAGGGCATGGTGCTGAGGACTCACGTGCCCCTGGGGGGCTCAGCCCCATGGCCCCCACACCCTCCCCGCGGCGGCCGGCAGAGCTGGGCAGGAAAGGGGACAAGGTGCAGGAGGCCGGGAGGGACTGGGGCAGGGGGGCGCAGACTGATGCTTCCTGGTCAGAGGGAGAGGGCAGGGGCATGGGGGGGCCCAGCTGTGCCACCTTCGCAGGACCAGGGGCTCCGAACACCGGGAAGGGGGCGCTGCCGCCCCTCAGGCATGGGTAGGCATCTTTGGAGGGCTGTGGGGTGGCGGCCACAGGGCAGAGCTTTCCTTCACCCACCACCCACCCCCAGCTATGCCCCGGGGTCACACGCTTGTGTCAGATGGCTTTTAATAAACAACGGCTGGGACCCTGAGGATGTGTGGTGGCCCCTCCCTTCCACCCCATCCCCATCCATCGGTCAGGGACCAGGCCCCCGGGGCAGTGTCGTGTCTGCCAAGGGGGACACCGAGGGCCCACTTTGCCCCCAGGGGCCACCAGCCGGGCCCAGCCTTGCTCAGCACTGAGCAAAGTGGGCGTCGGCGACGTCACGCAGGTCGAGGCCCGAGACACCCGGGGGGCCGGCGCAGGTGATGTTGTTGGAGACGTAGATGGGCGGCTGGCCATCGTCCCCCTCGGGCGCAGCCTGGACGAGGCGCGGCACGACACCCGGCTCCTGCAGAGCCAGGGCCCTGAGGGCACCGAGCGCGCAGCCACAGTCCCAGGGGTTGTCCCCAAGCCAGAGGCGCTCCAGGCCGGCAGCCGGCGGCGTGAAGGTCCACAGGGAGTTGTTGGTGAGGCTCAGGTAGCGCAGCTGCCCCAGCTCGGCCAGCTCGCTGTCCGGCAGCGCCTCCAGGCGGTTGTGTGACAGGTCCAGCCAGAAGAGGCGCCGCAGGGGCCGCAGGGAGTCGGCCGCCAGCGCCGCCAGCTGGTTGCCCGAGAGCAGCAGGTACTCCAGCTTGCCCAGGCCCTGGAAGGCCCGCGCCGGCAGGTGCATGAGCCGGTTGGCCGTGAGGTCCAGCTCCAGCAGCTCCGCCAGCCCCCACAGGCCCTGCTCGTCCACGGCTGTGATGCCGTTGTGCTTGAGGAAGAGCCGCCGCAGCCCCGACAGGCCAGCGAAGGTGCGTGGGAGGATACGGCCCAGGCAGCTGCGCTCCAAGTGGAGGCTGTGCAGCCGGCCCAGGCCCTGGAAGGTACGCTCGGGGAGGCTCTGCAGGCAGTTCCCGGACAGGTTCATGACGGCCACGCTGAGCAAGCCGACGAAGGCACCCGCCTCGATCTCGCGGATCTGGTTGTCGTTGAGTGTCAGCACCTCCAGCTGGCCCAGGCCCTCGAAGGCCTTGTCAGGCAGCTGCCGGATGCGATTGTGGCCGAGCCGCAGCTCCTCCAGGAAGTGCAGGTCTCGGAAGGTGCGCGGCCGCAGGCCGGCGATGACATTGTGTGACAGGCGCAGGACGTGCAGGCCCAGCAGGCCGGGGAAGGTGTCCTCCAGGAGGCCGGCCACGCGGTTGTGTGACAGGTCCAGCCAGCGCAGCGCCTTCATGCCCAGGAAGGCGCCGGGCGCCACGGCAGCAATGACGTTGTGGTCCAGGTAGAGCTTCTGCAGCTTGGGCAGCTTGACGAACACGTTGGCCTTGACACTGCGCAGGGCGTTCCTGCTCAGGTCCAACTCCCGGAGCTCCCCCAGGCCACAGAAGAGCGGGGGCTGCAGGTAGGCCAGCTTGTTACCTGCCAGCACCAGCTCGCGCAGGCTGGCCAGGCCCTGGAAGGCGGCATCGGGGAGCACGGCCAGGCCGTTCCAGCCCAGGTGCAGGTCCCAGAGGTCGGCCAGGCCCCGGAAGAGGCCCTCGTCCACCCGGCCCAGCATGTTGTTGCTGAGGCCGAGCGAGGCCAGGCCCGGCGTGTGTAGGAAGGTGTGGGCCGCCAGGCTGCGCAGCTGGTTCCGCTCCAGGTGTAGGTGGCGGAGCTGCTGCAGGCCGAGCAGCGCCCGCGGCTCTAGGCTGGCCAGCCCGCTGCCCTGTAGGTTCAGGAAGCCCAGGCTGGAGAGGTTCTGGAAGGCCGCCTCAGGGATGGAGGACAGGTTGTTGCCATCCAGCCACAGGGCCCTGGCGCAGGCCGGGATGCCGTCGGGCAGCCTCGTGAGGTTCCGGGAGCTGCAGAAGACGCTGAGCTCGTCTGTGTAGTCGTCGTGGCCGCAGGTGCAGGCGGCCGGGCACTGCAGGCTCTCGGGGGCCCCTGGAACCCCGGGCTCTGCTGCCTGCAGGCCACAAGGGCCCAGCGCTGCCCAGGAAACCAGCAGCATGGCCAGGACCGGGCCTCCTGCGGGGACAGGGGCCAGAGGGTGTGAGCCCCGGGCTGAGGGAGACCGGGAACATTCCAGGCCACAGCCTACATGTGTGCTCCAGCGTGGAACTCTGCTCCCGACCGTGGTGCCTGACCGGAGGTGGTGGCCTGCTGATGGCCCAGAGGAAAGTGGGAGCTCGGAGCTGCGTTCTGCCCACCTGAGAGGGAAGCGGAGCCACGCAGGACAACGGGCACCTCCCACAGCTCAGAACTGCCTGCCCTTTCCAGCCCTGCAGGTGCACCAGGGGAAGGACACCTGTTCCGGAGAGACCTGAGGGTCGGGGTACCCGGCTGTGGGGCAGTCTGCGTCACTCTGTGGACACTCGATGGGGCAGTGTCACCAGGTGGGCTTGCGGGGGAGCGGGCATTCTGGAACAGGCCTGAGCAGGTGTGTGCTCCGTGCTCTAGAGGCCTGGACTGAGCAGGTGAGGCTGCCCCGGTTCGGCTCCCCGGTTGGGGGGCCCTCACCCATGTGCTCCCTGGCCTGCGCACCTCACACCCGGGTACGGAGCCTGGCGCTGGCGGAGGGGTAGAGTGGGGCGGACGGGACTCCCCGCCATCAACTCATCATGAGGCAGGGGCCTTCCGGGACAAGGGACACCGGGCCCCACACCAACAACACCCCAAAACCTGCGTGGATCACTGGGCTGCCCACCCCATTGGACCATCCCTGCCCTTGGAGGGCTCAGGATGAGGCCGGAGGATGCCCCACACCCACCTGCATGGGGCTGGGCCGTGAGGGGGATGGGGTGACATGGCCTGGCCTTGAGGGGCTGTGAGGACAGCAGTCCCCAGCCTAGGGAAGGGTCCCCCGGGTGGAGGTGTGAGGAGATGGGCCCTGGGGCCAGAGAGGTGCCCGAGGATGCATCCCTGGGCAGCACCTCAGCAGCGATGCCTGCCCTGTTGGTCTGCCCTGAGCTGAGCCCTCCCTGGGGCTGCCCCTGGCCATGGGGCTCGGGGGACACAGGGTTGGGACCCCCGAGTGAGGGGCCAGGGCCCTTGAGGCACCTCACCTCTGATCAGGGCCATCCGGCTGCAGGGCGGAGCGCAGGCAGGCCTAGAGCTGGATGCGTCTGCTGGGGCCGGCTGCGCCTGCCCTCTGATTTCCCCACTGCCGGGGCAGCCAGCACCCCGTGGCCGGCCAGCCCAGCCCAGCCCGACTGGCCCCGATTCCATTAACCCTCCCATGCCCAGCGGCCAGCATCGGCCCCAAGTGTCTAGGATGCAGACGGCGCAGGGGGGAGCTGGGGGGCTGCATTCACCCCGAAGCCACCTTGAGGGCTCAAGGTGGGCCGGGTACGGTTCCGAGGCCCCGGTGGTCACCCCCAGCCATCCTCCTGCAGGACTGGGCGGGGCAGAGCCGGGCAGCAAGCCAGTGGGGGACAGGGGTGTCCCCCGGAGCAGTCTGCTGGGCTGGGAGGCTCAAGAGGGGCTTCCTGGGAAGCCAGGAAAGGAGGTCCCCGCGTCTGGCTGGTCTCCTGCCCCTCATAGGGACCCCTGGGGCAGCAGCGGGGGGGGGGGACCTCCCCTCAGCAGATGGCTACGTGGGAGTTAAGCAGAAGAGCCTGGCACGCTGACCCCCCTCCTTCCCCTGCCCGTTTCCTAACAGCCTGGGTGGGGTCCTTGTGAGGACTCCCCAGGCCCGGCCCAGCCTTGGCCCAGCCTGGCTCCTGGGACCTCGGGGTCAACTGGTGTCTGGCCGCGCCTCCTCCCCCCGACCTCTTCTAGGAACACCAGGGCGGCCACCTTGTGTTTGCTTTCCCCCCGCATGGCCCTCCCGGAGGAGCGGAGAGGCCTGGCCTTGGGGGAGCCGTCCTGTGGCCCCGGGACCAGCGCCCACCTGCCTGGGGACGCGGCCCGGCCTCTGGAGCTCCTGTGGGGCCGTGGCCACCCGCCGTCAGCCCGGTGCCCCGCCTGAGGTCGGCCCCAGGTCAGGCCGGGAAGAAGGTTCCCAGGCAGCAGGGCCCCTGGCTGCGCCCCACCCCGGCGCACCCACACCTCGATGGGCCCCCGACTCTGTGGGTCCCGTGGGGGCTGGGCTGCACGTGGCCGGGCCCCAGGGAGAGGGGCGGGGGCCCCCCGGACTGTGGCGCCCTCCCCGGCCTCGGCCCCTGGGCCACAGCTCCCGCGGCGGGGGTGGGGCGAGGGCGGCTTTATCTCTCCCTTTATCGAGCTTTGATTGATCCCCAGGTCGGGTCTCAGCCTCTGTTCTGAGAAATTATAGATCCGCCGGGAGAAAGTCCACGCCCAGAAATTTACACGGTAAACACGCGTTTACACAGCGCAAAGTGCGGACTCAGCACGTTCCCCGCAGGGCCTTCAGCCAGGCGGGGAGGGAGGGGACGGGGATCGTTCTGGAAACCCCTCCCCGCAGCTGCGGCTCCCCAGAGGGACCCCGGAGCCTGGCAACTCAGGGAGTTGGCCACCTGTGGGGCTCCCCAAGGCACCTGGTTTCATTTGCTCCGGATTGTCACAGACACAGGGTCACACACGAACCCTGGGTCCGGCTGCATGTGTGACGCAGGATTCAGCTGGCCCGTCCCCGCAGCTGGCCCTGCTTGAGTCTCGGGACGCGCTCACCTGCCTGCGGCCGGGGACACCGTGCCCGGAGCCTGTGGGCGTCGGTGGACGTGCTGGGACCCGGGGTGCACCCCAGCAGGTGAGGCCGAGCCTTCCCGCGTGCTCAGCGGGTCACAACCCCCTGGGGCCGCACCCCCGCCCGGTGTTCCCGACCCCAAGGGGGAGCGGCCCGTGGCTGTGGCGCTCATTCAGTGTTTGTCAAACACCAGCAAGAGTGCGGCCCCTTGGGCTGTCGCCGACTTCTCGTCCTGGGTCACCTGGGTCACCTGGGTCACCGTGAGTCGTGGTTCTGAAGGGTCACAGCCTGGAGCAAGTGTCGGGAGGATGCTGGCAGGGGCCCTGCACCGGCCGGAGCCTGTCCACTGTCCCGTCACCTCGGGCTCCGCCCATCTTCATGGTCCCCAACGCCCCACATGGCGCTGAGCGGAGGCCTCGGGCCGTGAAGGTGGCAGGGCCCGGCTCCGGCTGCTGTCCATGGCCGCCCACCGCTCTGGCACGGAGACCGAGCACACGCTGTCCAAATGCCCTGGGGTCCCCTCACTGCGGCCGGCGGCCTGTCCCCCAGCCCCAGGGTGGGGAGGGGGTCCCTCCCTTCTGGGCCAAGCAGCCCACCAGCGTCTGAACCAAAGCCAGGGTGGGGTGGGGGTCGGGGTTGTGCTGTGGTTTGCGTGGAAGACACACCCGAGCCCGTGTCCCCGGCCGACGTCGTCTTGCCTGGCTCTCCTGCCGTCGCCTGCCTCCTGCACGGTTGTTAGGGTCTCGTTGCTAGATGGCAGCAGTTAGGGGCCCTCCTTGCCGCCGGGTCCTTTGCTCCGCTTCGCATGTGGCGCAGCCACGTGGGTGCCCTCACCCGCAGGTGTCCCCTGAGACGGCCGCAGGCACGAGGTACACGGTCCAGGCTGGCTCCAGCGGGGTGGGTGGGGAGGCAGCCCAGGTGACAGGCATCCAGGTTGCTGCCACTCGGGGGCCCCACGGACATGGCCACGAGCATTGACCTTCCACTCTCGGGTGCACGTGTGTCATGCCTTGGGTAGCTTGGTGTGAGCGGGACTGCGGGCTCACGGTTCGTAGGTTTTACGTGTAAGTCACATCTGCGCCCGACAGTCTCGCGCTCGCGAGCTGGCTGCTGCTACGTGCAGCTTCTTACAAAACTACTTAGATAACGTTTTGGAAAGTACGAGCAGTGCGGCGGTTTCACGTCCTCGCCTGCACACGCCATGGTCGGTCACGCGCCTGCTGTCCCCGTGCCGTGTCGCTCTGGCCGCAACTGTTCGGCTCCTTTGCCCCGCCTTCTGGAGGAGGGGGCCTAAGTCTTGCTTCTAAGTTGTTTTCCAAGGCTTTAGGGATGATGGGTTATCAGATAGGATATTTGCAGCAATTTCTCCCGGGCTGTGGCTTATCCAGGTTTTCAAAATACCGCCTTTTGGGGGGGCCCTGGGTAAGGGACCAACGCCTGACCTCAGCTCTGGTCTCGACCTCGGGGTCCCGAGTCCAGGCCCTGCCCGGCCCCGCGCTCGGGGTAGAGCTTCCTTCAACAAAAAGAAAAGACACGTTGTCTCTTACAGTGCAGCTGTGTATTTGGATGAAGTGCAGTTCGTTGGTGTTTTTTCCTCAGGCTCGTGGCTTGGGTGAGCCTCGCGCTGGACCCCCCTCCCCCCAGTCTCCTCCCGGGGATGGGGAGCACCTTCCCATTTACTTCTGTCATCTGTGTAAATCTTGCACCAGGGGCGCCCAGGGGGCTCCGTCGGTGAAGCATCTGCTCAGGTCATCATCCCAGGGTCCGGGGAACGAGCCCGTCTGGCCCCCTGCTCCCCGGGGAGCCTGCTCCTCCCTCGCCCTCTGGCCCTCCCCCTTGCTCATGTGCTGCACGCGCTCGCTTTCTCCCAAATTAAAAAAAAAAATCTAGAAAAAAAATTCCTGCACTATTTTCAACAAAACAATTTGAGTTTTATTAGCTTAGTGCTACCGTGATTGCAATCTTCTTGATTTCGCTTCTGGCTTGTTAACAGCCCTGGAAATGCAGTGGGTTTTCCTCGCTGACCTTGAATCCCAGGATCAGCGCCCCGGGCTCTGCCCTGAGGATGCCTCCGCCCCCCTCCGAGGCCTGCATCCTGCCCTCTGCTGCTCCGTGCCTCCCTGCGCACGGGCCCAGCGGTGACGGGGGTCTTAGAGCTGAGATCAGGCCGGTCCCCGTGGACTCTGACGTGTGACAGTAATGCTGTCGAAGGGACAGCCATCCTCACCCCGCCCGGTGCCTGCTCACCCACTGGCCGAGACTGTGGACCCACTGTCATCACGAGGGTACTTAGCAGCGGAAGGGCCTCGGGGCAGGCGCAAGGTGACAGGAGGACGCTGTGGGCCGCCCCGGGCCCACAGGAGGAAGCACGGCCGCGGGCACTGACCCCGAGCACACCTGCCGCTGGGGCACTTGCACCTTCACACGGCACCTTGAGCCGATCCTGAGGTGTTGTCCTTCCCTCCTCGAGGACGGGCCGGGCCGCGTGTTCGTTTCTGGACGTGCAGCCGACGGGCACTCCTGTGACGAACACCTGCTCCTGGTGCGTAGCGTTGCGGCCTTTTGTTACGAGTTTTACATCCAGGCTCCCGAGACTGATGCCTTGTCTTCTCCCGAGGCGTCTGAGGCTTTAGGGTCGGGACGACGCTCACCTGGCAGGAGGAGCGGGGACGTGCCTGGCATTTTCTGGAAGCGCGTGAGTGGCGTCACTGACAGCCCTCGGTCCGCATGAAGACTTCAGACTTCGCATCGATTCAATTTCTTGTTACAGGTCGAATATTCAGGTTGTCCCTCCGAGTCTGGGTGAGTCTCCACGCCCTCCTGGGCAGCAGCCGCCTGGTTTTCCTTGCAGTCCCGGAGGGGCCCCGACGGTCGTTTCCGCGGGCGGTGGTGGCATCCTGCACCCGCTTCCCTGCAGGCCTTCAGCCACTGTGCTTCTCTGTTGGCGGCTGTAACTGAGGGTTTGTCACCCTCGTGAGCTTTTTCATGGAACTAACTTTTGGATTTTCTGTTTTCTATCTTGATGATCTGTTTTCTTCTACCTCCTTTGCGTTTTGTGTGCCCTTGGCTCTTGTTTTTTTTTTTTTTTTTAATAATTTATTTTTTATTGGTGTTCAATTTGCCAACATACAGAATAACACCCAGTGCTCATCCCGTCAAGTGCCCCCCTCATTGCCCATCACCCAGTCACCCCCACCCTCCTCCCCTCCACCACCCCTAGCTCGTTTCCCAGAGTTAGGAGTCTTTATGTTCCGTCTCCCTTTCTGATATTTCCCACTGATATCTGATATTTCTTCTCCTTTCCCTTCATTCCCTTTCACTATTATTTATATTCCCCAAATGAATGAGAACATACACTGTTTGTCCTTCTCCAATTGACTTACTTCACTCAGCATAATACCCTCCAGTTCCATCCACGTTGAAGCAAATGGTGAGTATTTGTCATTTCTAATGGCTGAGGAATATTCCATTGTATACATAAACCACATCTTCTTTATCCATTCGTCTTTCGATGGACACCGAGGCTCCTTCCACAGTTTGGCTATTGTGGACATGGCTGCTAGAAACATCGGGGTGCAGGTGCCCCGGCGTT